ACGTTAAAATAATTTTATAATCTATTAAACTCAATCCATTATTAATAAGCTCTTACATCTCTCCTATTAGCCTTTTGCCACTATAAATTTCTTGATGTTGAAGGTTTAACGTGATTGTTAATTCCCGTCGAAAGAATATAAATATAATCCTAATACTCCATCAACGTTGATTTCTACCATTAATGTTATTTAAGTGAAGAGACAATGTAGTCTGGGAAGATGATCATATGCATATATATGGTCAGGGAGAGTGAGTGAGGAGAGATCCAAAGAGATGACTCTGAGACGAGAATAAAAACGTTTTCTTAGTAAGGACTGTACTCGTCCTTTTGCTGTGACGAGATTACTAAATCCTCACGTATGAAATTTCTGGACACAAAAGTTGTTGGGAAAATTACAGGGACTAATTATAGGTAGCATTTACAGGAATATAAATCGATCTAAACATATACAAAAATATCTAACCTGATGTATGGCAATGATAGGTCCCATGAAATATCATCCATTTCCTATGTTTTACATTCAACCTAAACATGAAATTAATGGATCCAGCTAAATGATCTTCTACGTGATGAGTCTACTTTCTTATCTAATTGGTAGTACCACAATGCATCTACAAATTAACACATAGTCAAACAATGTGGCGAGAAGGTTGAAGGGTTAGGCGACTAGGAAACGAAGAGATATATAACTCAGAAAAGCAGTATAGTTCTTGTCTGTTAATTCTATCAGCATCTTCAGCTGCAGTTTTCTGTGTTTGGTGTAACCATTTATTTTCAAAGCAATTATTTATTCCCAATATTTTTTCAAATTCAGCTCATGAAAGATATAGTTAGTTATACCCAAAAAGTAAAAGTAAATGTAAGTATTAAGAATAAGATACTTAAAAATTGATTCTGTCCTATGGAATTAACAAATATTGGCCTAGAAACGAAGACCCTAATACTAACGGGCTATCAAATGGTTAAGTTGGAAGGAGTCTCGAATATCCCTCTCCAACAATTGTTGGCTTCACTTACTGTGGATTTTAAAGCGGCGCCTTTTATGGACTGTACCGAATCCTCTTGAATCTCCCCGCAGGATGTGAAAAATATCTCGTGTTGTGGGATGTATTGGCAAGTGGATAGTATAAGATGAATACCACGTACATGACTATGCAAGGGATGGAGAGTGTAAAGAATATCATTCTTTTTCAGTTTAATAATAGAAGAAGACTGTTTTTCCAAGTTCATGCTAGAAATATGGAGCACTGTAGAGAGAGCCTGCCGTCAGTATCTACATTGGATTCCAGTTACCTCTTCCATTTTGTTGCACGTATTTTTCTCGGCCTGTTTGGATAGAAGGATCAGACTGATTCTTGACAATTCCAAATGAGGGTGACTTTTCCAAACTTTTATGGGAAATCCACACATCATTCCATTTTTAAGTGTATCTTTCAGTGTACAATCTGGCCTTTGAAGAGAATTTGTGTTGTCTGTAAACTCTGGTAGCCTAATGGGATCATATGACTTTTAAACATCTAAGAGATCTCGTCAAAACTTTGGCAATGTTTAAAGATAATCAAATGCATTAAGAGTCACAAGCCATTATAAATACAGATACACTTTTCTCACTAATTATGATCAGTCTTCTCTCTTGTTATGTGTATGGTATTTAAGGCACAGGTTTTCTGCTCACGATGCAAATGAAATGTAAATAGGACAAAATAAATTCAGTTCGTCAGTTCCCCTTCTCTGCTGCTCACTCTTTCTTCTCTGTCACCCGGTGGATAGAACAAGCCTGAAAGCTGGAAGAGAAGGCTCCGCCAACGTGCTTAGCTTGTTCTGGATGTCACTGTGCCGAGCTCTGTCTTCCACCCAGAAGAGAGCTCGTTCGTCGCCGCCACCACCACCTCACATGTCACGCAGAGGGAGGCCTGCCACTGCTGTAGCTCCCGTTGGTGTCTGACCCCTTCTCTTCTCTCTCTCTTCTCTACTACCCCCTCCCCCCCCCTCCCTCCCCACGCGCTCATGATTGGCCTGCTATTAGCGCTGATATAATTAACCCATTATCAGGCCACATCTTCCTCTGCAAATTCGAATAATTCATGGAGAAATTATATTTCTCCTACTCTTTATTTTTCTACACTTCCATGTCAATTCAAATATTCCTACCTTAGACATTCATGTTAGTGTAAGTTAAATCATTAAATGGGCGTTTCTCAAGAATGGTATGCTTGAGAAATGCCCATCCTTTCATAGGACCTGTCATCTGGATGAGAGGCACACAGCAGGATTGAATTACTTTTTTTCTCCTGGCTTATCCTTTTATTGCTAGATTATTGCCTAGTTCTCTTTATGAATTGTTTTCTTTGTCATTCGGTGACAAGCCCTTACTTTTTTTATTTCCGTTTCATATGTGAGTTTATTTTCTTGCACCTTGAATGATGTTTCTAGTCTCAACTCTATTTTGAGTGCCAAATTCATGTTAATGTTGTTTATTCCATCTTCCTTTTTTTTCTCTTTTCTCACTACACTTCATCATTGTTCATTTCTTGCTGCTAAAGATGTAGCAGAAAAGAATGGAAATTAGGAACAATTAATTTTTTCAGAGTTGTATAACAGTTGTTCATTCAATAAATATTTGGGAGTGAAATTTGACATTAAAGAATTCAAGAATCATCACTAATGATCGACCTGAATTCACCAAAAATTTAAAGCTAAATATTCATGTTTTAAATTCTAAATATGAAATTTGACATCTGTTAGATCAAGAGAACATTGCATATTGACTACTCTTATGCTTAGAAGGTGAAGCCATTCGAGATAGAAAATTCAAATACTAAGACTGATACATAGAATTATAATATATTTACTTCACAAAAATGTTTTATTGTACTTAAATGCCTACTAAGTATAACAAATATATCCCTGATGAGAATTTTCAATAACATGAGATATTTCCTATGATCTGGACATAAATTATTTTCTGAAATGATCTATACTCTTTAATCATATCTACTACATCAATCTTTAATTAAATTTTACATCTCATATTATCAATTTCATAATAATGTCTAAAAAGTCATTAATAAGTCATAATTAGTTAATCCATAACTCAACAATATGCAGAGGTCAATACAACTTCTCCCAACCACCAAACAAGAAAGGATAAGCTTTATTGTTAATTAAAAACAAGTGCAGAAATAAATAGACACGAAAATAGCTCCAACAAAAGCCATTAAATGGGGGAGACAGTAGAATCCTATTTAGGATCAAAGTGAAAGGACTTTCATCTTCTCTAACTTCTCTCTCATGATTTTTCTTCTTTATCTGAGGCCCAAATTAATATCCCTACTGCAAAGGGGACCGAACTAGTTTTGTACCCCATACTAGTTCGTAAAGAAAATAGGGGAAGGGGGAAATTCATGACATACATATCTCGATCAACTAATCAAGTGAACCTTATGTTCTTCACATGAGTAAGATACTTTTCCAAGGTGAGTAGAAACTCTTCAGGAGAGACCAAGTCTTGATGAATGTAATCGCAATGAATAATTTACTTTCCAAATGAGGTTTTATGGACACGATCACATATTCTGTCTCTCCACCAGTCCCTCTCTTTTCTCTTCCTCTCTCTCTCATTCTCCATCTCTATGTCTGCCACACTTTCTATCCATTCCCCCTCCACCCATTTCTCGTTTTCTTATCCATTTTGAGTTGTGTGTTGACCTTCTAATTGAGTATCTTACTATATCTCTCTCTATTCTTCCATGTGAGAGAGAGGGCGGACAGCCATCTGTAAGATATATTAGACAGATTTAGATGAACCAACCAAGAGCAATCGAATTAAAATTCCTTCCACATAACCTGTTGTTTTCCCATAGGACCTTCATAAACAAGTACGACATCTGTGCCAAGAGGAAAGCCCATTGATTAATAGCTGAGTAGTGTCCTATCTGCTAAGTCATAACTCTCTATCACTTCTTTCCATTAGCAATCATACTGTGATTTTATACTTGCTGGGGATTGGAACATCCTCATTTCCCCCTTCTTGTATAGTGAAAGTCTGATGCAAAATGGAACACAGGAGAGGGAGAGGGAGAGAATGACAAGAAAAAATGACGTGCTAATTTACATGGTCTGGAGAAACCTTCTATGCCAATAGTCATACACAAATCATACTTCGTTTAGGAGATGATATTTCAAAGCCTTCTAGCAGCGACATGCCTTTGTGTGTCCTAACATATTGAGATGGCTGTGCTCCCTCTCAACACAAGGTTAGGGTCAAAGTACGAAAGTCCATTTAGAGCCTACTAGGATTCATGTACTCGTTGAATAGCCCTTTGTAATCCAATAGGGCCCAACAGGAGGTCATTCTATGACTCCAACAATACCACCTTAGAACCTTCAGCACTCCAAATGTCTACACCTACTCAATCTGTTGGCAGGTGAGCAGCCCTTGGAAGCTCCACCAATAAATTAAAAATCCATATCAGAATCAACGTTAAATCTTTTGTTATATGAATGTCAATATGTGATGAGTATCTTGTTCAGAGACCAGAAGTGAATTTGAGGATTAAAGACCTCAAGGCCATGTGAATTTGTTTGGTACCCAAAAGTTTGCATCACGAGGAGCTGAAAGTGAATTCCCACCTTGGTCCTTTCAGTTAGAGATAATCAATTTTGCCAACAAAGTCCATCGGCACCTACAAACTAGTCAGTACCTCTTCATCTCTCTCGATCGTTCCCCTTCTCTCTCTCTCATAGACGTGTGCACACTATGTATGCACCTAGATTCATCAGTCTCCCACACATCTAAATTACTTATTTCATGAAATTACCATATTATAATAGAGACAAATAGTTTGAAACATGCGTTCAATCATCAGGAAGCGAGATGTAGTAGCTAGTCAAGATAATCATCCACTACTCTTTCAGTAACATCAGATACAAACCCTCGGCAAAGATCCACAACACAGACTATCATCACACCAGAAGGGAAACAGAATTTTCTTGAGATTAGACGAGGGAATGGACGACCTGGCTCATGATGGCTGCATGGCTCTTCTCCAGAGCGAGATACACGTCAACGCCGCCGCCTTCTCCGCATGATGGAACAAGGATCATTAGCCCCTCCACCGGGAGCCCTGGCGGGAAAAAGGCGGCTGGGAGTCCGCCGCCGAAATCCAACTCATGGAATTGGAGGCTCAACCAGCTATTGAACTCGATGCCGGGGTTTAGAAAGTCACCCACCACAGGCATGGTCGCGGCAATCTCTGCGCCTCCCTCCCCTTTAAGTTGCTCCCCGAAGTCGATGAACGACTTGAAGTAGCTGTCGTCCACCTTGTTCACTGCCTCGCGGATCACCTGTGCCACGTGGGAGTAGCTCGCCCGGAGTACCTCTCCGGCCGTGAGTTTTGGATAGGCCCAGAGCACAAGGTTGCCGAAGTACTCCGGCGGCACGAAGGGCCTAATCCTCTGCCGGCCGTTGACAACAAGTCTGACCTGGGTCATCTCGTCGTCAGGAAGCCTGCGCGCAAAGGTCGTCTTCTTCCACATGTGGGTGAGGACGCTCAAGAACGTGCTCACTCGACGGCTGGGGTCGCCACCATTGACCATGTCCTTGAGCTTGCCGATGAACTCCTTGGAGAAGTGGAAGGACTGGTTACACATCTTGGACAGGTTGACTCCGACATCCCCCCCAGGCCGGGTGGCTCCACTCTTGCGCCTGAACTCCGTGCCGAGGTGGTCAAACTCCACCCTAGCCGGGTTCCTAGGAGCACAGACGGAGCTCCATCCGAAGAAAGGAAGAGTCCCGACGTCACGGCCCTGTACCAGTTTGGCCCAGGTGAACAAGAAATGGCAAATGGAGGAGCCGTCGCCTATGCGGTGGTGGGAGGTGAGGCCCAGAGTGAGACCGCCGCAGGAGAAGCGGGTGAGCTGAACCTGGAGGAGCACCTCCAACCCCTCAGCTGGGTGTGGATGCAACGTTAAAAAGCCCGCGGAGGGGTCGAAGGGGAGGTGTTCCTCCAGGGTGGACGGCGCGATGGCCTCCTTGAGGCGGATGCCGGCGTCGTTTAGAACGACTTTCGGATATCCGTACTCGTCAGGGTGGAACCTTCCGGCAAGGTGAGGGAAGTAAGCGAGGGCTCGTGTGAGTCCCTCCCGCAGGGCGGCGTTATCGGGCATCGGCGGCCGGAAGGCGTAGAGGATGCAGACATGGCAGTTGTAGTTGGCCACGTCGAAGGGCGTAAGGGGGAACTCAGCGTTGTGGAGAACATGGGGTGGGGAAGAAGGCGAATAGTAGGGCTTGAGAAGGATGTCGCAGGTCACTTGAACTGCCTCCACTGCTGCCATTTTAGATGCTCGCTCTCTCACGCCTTGCCCAGTTCATCTTCTTTCCCCGACGAGGTGGTCCTCTTATAACCCGAGGGAAGGGAGTGGGTGGAAATCTTGAGACGTCGGGACGGGGGAGGTAGGCAAGGGTTTTTAGGTGACATTCCGAGAGAGATAGAGAGAGGGTATTTTACAATAAATGTGAACATCCGGGTTTTTCTCGGTCGTAGGACCCAGTCCCTCTGTCTTTCCTTTTCTGCTGTAATTAACTTATCATTCTGGGACAGGAAAAACACTCAAACAAGCCATGTGGCATCACCTACCGAAGAAAAACTCTACGGGTTGACAATCATCGTTTGTAGAATCTCGTTTGTTCTTCGTATAGTTACGTACAACAAAGAAGATCCCTTTCTCTGTCGTTTCCGATTAGTGAACCATTCGGATTACGACCAATCCTCACAAAACGAATCCGTAAGCGGCTTTAGTGATTAATTCAGCCTTGCTTTAAGAGATACCTAGCCAGACGAAGATGCAAGAAACTAAAGGAGTCAGTCGAGCAGGAGGAAACAGAGAGTAAACCTCATAACCAAGCCGCGGTCACAACGCCGATCGTAGCCCAAATCTATGCTAATTTTTCATCCTCAGAAATAATATTTTAATTCGCACAATTATTTAAATGCATTTTGTTCAGTCAAGAGGGCGTCGATCAGAAGTTAGAGCCATTATTCTTATTCTGAATGCTCAAGTACTGGTAAGATTTTGGTGAACGCAACGGAAACAAGTCATTCACCTACACCTACACCTACACAACGAATCTTCTGAAGATTTGATTTGATCTCATCTAAGCCCGAAGGTAATCTCTCTCTCTCTCTCTCTCTCTCTCTCTCTCTCTCTCTCTCTCTCTCTCTCTCTCTCTCTCTCTCTCGCTCGCTCGCTCGCTCGCTTATTAGTTTTGAACGGTGACCAGTTCTCTGCCCGCCCTCTCGTCTTGCTTCCTTCGGGTTTAATCTTGGAAGATCTCGGCGAAAGAAAAGGTCATTCAACCAGGCATTTCATCCAGAGCGAGTGTGGCGGAGACCGCTTCCCCGGGATCCTGACGGCTCTCTCTACTCAGGCATTTCAACTTAGATGAACGGAAAAAACGACAGAATAGAAAACAACCGCCCTGCGTGGCACCCATGACAACGGCCCAGCCATTCGTTAGCTTTGTCAGGCAATTCATATTTCTATCTCCGAACAGTCCCATCCACCTTTCTCTTCACACGTGGTTCGTCTTCAGCACTCCTTTCATAATAATATCAGCTTATGGGTCAATGGCTAGCTCCAACGACCTTCGACGCCCCAACCCCCAACAACCCCGCCCGATTTTCTACTGGGGCTATCTAAGCATAGTTTTTTCTTTCATTGATTCACCGCAAAGAGGAATGGCTACCATGGCCTGTCATCAGGTTCTGCTGATTCAGTGTCATCAGCTCCTCACGGGAACCATATAGAACTTTCACATAGTAATTCTATTGGATGAGAACTTTTTAATGCTTGAAACGTATGTCCCTCGTTTATGATTGCAGACCATGAGGGTGCGTTTCGCATCACAATAGCTTGAATAAACCCACGTCGAAAACTCGTTCATCATCCTACACTATTGTCATATTTAGACCTCTCAGTTTACCCTGATTTCAACTTCAAAATATATCAATGGCTGTTCACCTCATTATAGGTCTTTTTTCAAGACACCGCTTTCTTTGCCAACTTATTACCGAAATCTATTGCCCGGTTACATTCGCCTCAGGATAAAGAATCGTGCCTCCTTCCCTCTAACACGGTGAGACAGGCTGATCATTCAATGGCTGTCAGTTTACGCTGAATTCAGCTTCAAGATACATCAATGGCTGTCAGTTTACGCTGATTTGAACTTCAAAATATATCAATGGCTGACCACCTCATTATGGGTCTTCCTTCAAGATGCCGGTTTCTTCCCCAACTTATTACCGAAATCTATTGGCCGGATCACATTGGCCTCAGTATAAAGAAACGTGGCTCCTTTCCTCTAACAAAGTAAAACAAACTGATTATTTATCCTGTATTAATTTAGACATTCCCAGGTCACCATTCGCCCGCCGACAAGGCATGTTACTTTCACATGGGCACAGCAACCTTTAATGATTCTATCTTTACATGACTATCTCGTCCACGCTACCCCCACGGAATCAAGATAGTTTTCCAGACGGTGCGACATGCGCCACCAATCCACTCCACTTCCGTTGACCGCGAGATATGGAGAATAAGCGGTCAGTAACTTACGCCCTCATCCTCTTCGGAACCTTGCTGACGATCGTTTCGAACCCGACAAACCCTCGTGCCGGATTTGAAAGTTTCTTGGAGCGCAAACTCATGCGTCGAATTGCGTTGCTAAATCTGGTCAAACGAATCGCAGGCATGGAGTTAATAGTCCCCGCTCAAGCATGGGTCGGGCGAGGTTTTCATTGCAGAGCAGACCATTTGTGCAACCTAATGTTTCACATATAGTGAAGCTATTTCTTTCACTATGATCTCTTTCCCGCGAGTTGGGGATTTTAAACCCAAATCCCCTTCCCTTGATAATTTCTCTCCGATTTTTTATCGCTTTGCGTGTTTTCTATCGTTATTCTTATCTCGGTCGAAATACAAAAGTTTCATTAGTCCGGCGCAACGACAGAAACATGACATTGCGTAATACCTTGTCCTGATTATGATAGAAGGCGGTAGGTGTGGTCCAGTAGTTGATGGGTGTTGACCACTGTAGAAAGATGGAGACAATGTCCATTAATAAGACATATTTTACTGATCTCTTATGTACGAAGATCAATTAAATATGTTAGACTGCTCTAGAGGTCCCATTGATCCAATTGAGACCAACAAAAAGCCAGATGCTGCGTCCCATTATACATTAAATAAGTTGGGTTCTAAGAGTTTCTACTCCACAGAAGTCTGTTTAGCATTAAGATATGTAATAAAAAATTTATACACGGACGCCATAATGGCAATCACGCAAGCAATAGAGAATCACGCAAGCAATAGAGAATCATGCGGAACATACCACAGTAAATAAAATTTACGTGAAAAAATCGTACATGCTCCATATGCCCTCTACAGAGGACTGTTTCCCTGCACGGTGCATAAAATATCCCGTGTCGCCTGCCAATGCTTTCCACAACCAATCGAATTCGAATCCCTTCCGGATATCCTGCCGGCTTCGTGGAGGAGCTTCATATACAGCATGTGTCCCAGGGGAAAAAGACACAAAATAATAGCTCAATAGTCTTTGACGCAGTATGTCACTTTTTACGATTAATAGCTCTTAATCCGTTTTCTAACCCTTGGAATCTTCAACGCGCCAGACGCCCCTGCTGGCCTGATTGCAAGGTAGGTGAACGGCCAACGAATCTCCATGAGTAAAGAGTAGATTCCCGTCAGAATCACACTCAATTTTTCTGTTATCCACCTTTCCCCATCTCGCGAGTATCTTTCGTAAAGATTCATGAGTATGTTAGTTCGTTCCGTACCCAAAAGTTTTTAACTTTTGCCGGAAGCGATAGTGAGTTCCCTCGGCTGCTACAGTTAGAATGCTCATTCTGTCAACAATGTCATACGGCCATTGGTAATGAGTTCATACCTCTCTCCCTCTCTCTCTCTCTCTCTCTCTCTCTCTCTGAGTCCCTCACTCACACATGTATGCGTGTGGATTCGTTGGCCTCCTCCCATGAACCGTAGCTATGAGAAGAACAAGACGAAAAGACCTCAGGTTACTCATTCTCCGAATTCATTGTATCCGACCAGTGGAAGATTACAATACGAGAGCCTGACTCTTCTTTATACCTCCATTTTGTCCTTTTCCACGTCACTGTTTGCCCGCCGATGACGCTAATTCAGAGCAGACTGGTCAACACAGGTGGGAAGGGACAGGAAACGATGTCGTAACTTTACTCAGTAAAACGATTATATTCTCCACTGGATTCCCGTATCCCGAAGCGACAGGGAAGAGATTCAGTCCACTCTTGTCGCGTCAGAGGGAATCGGCTATGGTGAGATTTCGTCCACTGAAACCAATTTCGTGTATTCATGACTCTACTGCGGAAGCTGCTATCGTGGGATTCAGAGACGATATTTTTACAAAAACAGCGAACTTCGTCTCGTTTTCAGGTTTCCTAGCCTTTAGTGAGTACCGGGTTTTTCTTGCTCGGACCCAGTCCCTCAAATTGGAATTCATCGAACCTGTCTTTCCTTTCTTGCGGTAATTAACTTATCATTCTTGGACGGGAAAAACATTCAAGCAAGCCATGTGCCATCACCTACCACAGAAAACGTCTTCGGGTTGACGATCAACGCTCGTAGAATCTCCTTTTCATCAAAGAAGACCCCTTCCCCTGTCCTTTTGGACTAGCCAACCATTCGGATTAATGATACGACAAACTCTGGCAAAACGAATCCGTAAGCGGCTTAAATGATTAACTCAGGCTTGTGTTAAGAGATACGTAGCCAGTCCATGATGTAAGAAGGTAAAGGAGTCAGTCGAGCAGGAGTGAACAGAGAGTAAATCTCATAACCAAACCGCAGTCACAGCGCCGATTATAGCCCAAGCATATGCTAGTTTCATACTAAGGAATAATATTCTAGTTCCACAATCATTTAAATACATTTTGCTCGGTCATGAGGGCGTCAATCCAAAGTTAGAGCCATTGTTCTTATTCTGAATGCCCAAATACGGGTAAGACCTTTGTGAACACAGAGAGAAGAGAAATCTTCTGAAGATTTGATTTGATCTCATCTAACCCCGATGGTAATCTCCGTCTCTCGCTCTCTCTCTCTCTCTCTCTCTCTCTCTCTCTCTCTCTCTCTCTCTCTATCTCTCGTTTATTACTTTTGAAGGCTGACCAATTCTCTGCCCGCCCTCCCGTCCTGTTTCCTTCGGGTTTACTCTCGGAAGATCTCGGCGAAAGGAAAGGTCATTCAACCAGAGCGTGTGCGGCAGAGACCGCTTCCCCGGTTGCATTGCCAACACGTTACCAAAATTTATGGTCTCGACCACTGTAGCCTCAGAATAAAGAATGGTGGCTCCTTAAGACAGGCTGCTTATTCATCCTGTATTAATTTATTCGTTCCCTGGCCAATATCCGTCGGCAGGTAGCGTTTGTTCATAGTTGACTGGGTGTCATCACACTTTCACATGGGCACAGAAGCCTCCAAAGATTCCATCTTTACTTGGTAAACTCTCTAATCCACGAGAAGGAGAAGATCCCACCTCACTACATTGGAGCACCTCATATTCCGAGTAAGTCCGTTAGGTTGTGCGTTCCATATCATCTTGTTTTGAAAGGTCATGGATCAGACTTTCTTGTCGGGGCCTACCCCAAGGGAAATCAAGATATTTTTCCAGAAAGTGCGAACTGCGCCACCAATCCTCTCCGCCAAGCGATCAGTAACTTGAGCCCTCTCATCCTCTGTGTATCTTGGTTGACGATCGGTTTGAACCCGTCAAACCCTCGCGCCGGATTTGAAATTTTCTTGGAGTGCAAACTCTTCTGCAAGTGCCTCGGATTATGTTGCTAAATATGATGAAATGAATCCCCTTGGAGTTCAAAGCTTCCGCAAAGCTTTCATTGCAGAGCAGACCATTTGTGTAACCTCACTCTTCATATATACTGAATTATTTCTTTTACTATGATCTATTTCCCCCGAGTTGGGTGATTTTTAACCCAAATCCTCCTCCCTCGATTATTTCTCTCCAATCTTTCAGCGGTTTGCGTGTTCTCTATCGTTATTCTCACCTTGGTCGAAATACATAAGTTCCATTAATCCGCAACGATCAGAAAAATGATATTACGTTCCATCTTGTGATGATTATTCTACAAGGCAAGTAGGGCACAGTAGTTGAATGGTGCTCACCACCTACAAAGATGGAGACCACGGCCATTCATAAAACAAATATCTTCTACTTTGTTGACGTCCCGTGTACGAAAGGTTCATACTCGTCCAGTTCAGACCTTTATAGAAAGTCAGATCCTGCGTGCCGCCGTTATGCATGAAACATGTCTTATCCACGAAGATTAACTAAAAATCTTCGACTACGACTGCTCAAGAGGTCCCATCCGTGCAAGTCCTACACGGATGCCATGATCAGATCACGCGATCATTATTGAGTCAGAAATAGAAGACGCGAGAAGCGTAGCATAGTAAACTCGTCATTTCTTAGGTTGAATATCACAATCGGAACAGTTAGCGAATAATCGAGCATTCGTAACGTCTTTAGTTCGGAAGCTGCAGATTAGATAACAATTATTTTTTTTCTAAATTAATTGACGAAATCGAAGTATAAGATTGATTAATAAAAAAAATCAGCATCTATATATGGATAGCAGAAGAGCGTAACCATCATAAGAGCATCATCGAGACAGTTTTAAATCATGTACTTCGAATATTACTATTAGCTGTTAATTACAACTAGTCATTGAACCGGGTTATGCAACTCCTAAATACAAATCAACTATTTGATTACAAAGATTAATTAGGGAAACTTGTGACCTCACTATCATCCTACCGATGGGACATCTATGTACCATGGTTCTAGCTTTATCTGATGATGGTCAACCATCCCAAGAGAGTTTTAGCTTTTTCTACTGGTAAAGATTCCGTCTGCACCTCATGAAGCCCAAGCCTGGTCCTAAGTGGAAGGAGGGAGAGAGAGATACGAAGATGGCTGGTTCCTCACTTCCTAGCAGAGTTATTAGTTGAAGCCAAATTCTAATGATTCCACGAGGATATGAGAAATTCAACATATTTATAGCACGTGAGAGCTACCATAATTTCGTACTTATTAATGATAGAATAAAAATACTAATGATTATAGTCAAAGTACCCACGTTCATTCGGCTATTTGCGGGCCCCCAATGGGCCTATCAAAATGGGCCTTTTTGGGCTTATGTTCCTATGTGGGTACCCCACCCAAACCTAGAAGATTTTGGAAATGTCTACTAGTATTTTAACACAATTGTCATTCAATACAGTTTTCGCTCGCCAAACTGAAGCTGGTGTGTATGAAAATAAAAGGCATAAATACCCTACTTTCCCGGTTTATGCACGTAAATTATTTTCTAATAAATAACACGTGGCTTCCCCCTCCGTCTCTCTCTCCTCTCTCTCTCTTCCCACGAACGATCCTTCCGCACCCGACCTTCGATGCTTTTGACCCTGACACACGCAAAGCTCACTGCTCCAGGATCATCCAATCATTACTCGCGGTGAGGTTACTAAAGCAAGTGGGACCCGCAAGACTTAGAATGGCCTTAATCCCGCGCATCCCGTGGCCGGCGAGTGCCTCGTCACGTGCTCACCCCGCGCGTCGGATGACCACCGCCACAGTTGCCTTTCTACGCCTCCCTTTTGGCACCTCCCTCCTCGTCGCTTCCACCCCAAAGCGGTCACCGGTCCGCCGCCAATCTCAATGCAGTGACCCGATCCCGCCATTCAATTGTCTTGAATGCTCTCTGGTTCCTCATCACGTGCAAATACTTTTTCTTAAAATTTTAAACCATATTTTTTCTGCAATATCGTACCTCGACAATATTGGCATTTTTTACTTATAAGGATAATAATATTAATATATATATCACTCTCGCAGACAAAAAATATAGGGACGGCCCAGATTGCCCGGCAGAGACAGTTAATTTGGACCCCCAGATGTGGTCTTCTTCTTTTTTAGCATGTTTATTTACGTAATTAAAAAGGAAGGATATTTAGACCATTGATTAATATCACTCTCAAATTATTCATAACGGATTACATGCTGTGGACCGTCCGATTGGATAATCGGACGGCTCTGGATAAGGAATAGTGAAAAAGGCCCCCAACCGTCGGATCACACCTTCTCAAATCTCAGATTGCCCACTACCCCCCGGTCCTCCTCCCTCTCCAGTTCCGGCGCCTATAAAATTGTCACTAGGGAATTATCGTTGGCCACGCCCGCAGGCAGTCAGTCGTCTCCGTCGGTACCAGCGACTCTGCTTCCCGTCTTGTAGATCTCCGCCGCCCGTGGTAGCCGATCTCTCGTCGGTGAGTTCACCACCTTCGCCTCTGCAGCCTGCATTTCGTGTTTTCGCTCCGCCGATTGCTACGGGAAGCCGAAACGGCTGAAGATTGTTTCCAAGTCCTTTTGTCGTCGATCGGTCTGTTGATGTGCTCTTTTTGCTGTATCGTTGTAGATCCTGAGTGCTCGAGCTATTTTGCCGGTTATCTCTTGTCTTAACTCTCTGCGTCAACTTTGTTGTGACGTTTTTTCTCTGGACTTTTTTTTGAAACTCACTGTTGGTTCAGGGAGTTTTGTTTTTCGTATGAATTTTGTAAATCGGCAGGGTACTTCTGGTCGTTTTGAATGGCGATTGGGACCACGCATTAGATGTCTAATGGTATCTGAAGCATATATTTTCTATTTAATGTTCTTTCGTTGGCAGAAATATTTTCTCATGTCTTACTGGATCACTTACGGTTGACGTCTTCGAATTTCGTTCGAGATTTTCGGGAATGCCACATCGTTTTTAATCCTGATTGCGCTATTTTGTTGCTGCTTGCAGGCAAAAATGAGGGAGATCCTCCATGTCCAAGGTGGTCAGTGTGGTAACCAGATCGGGTCCAAGTTTTGGGAGGTGGTATGCGATGAACACGGTATAGATCCCAGTGGAAGGTACGTTGGAACTTCGGACCTGCAACTGGAACGCGTCAATGTCTACTACAACGAGGCTTCCTGCGGGAGGTTCGTTCCTAGGGCTGTGCTCATGGATCTGGAGCCCGGGACAATGGACAGTGTCCGTACAGGTCCGTATGGTCAGATCTTCCGCCCGGACAACTTCGTCTTTGGGCAGTCTGGTGCGGGCAACAACTGGGCGAAAGGCCACTACACTGAGGGAGCAGAGCTGATTGACTCTGTTCTTGATGTTGTGAGGAAAGAGGCTGAAAATTGCGACTGCCTTCAAGGTATTTTCTCCAAATCATGGACGAGTTTTACACAGGCGCCATGAGTTTTTGTTATAGATCTTTACTCGGTAGCCTTAAAACAGGTTTGATTTAGTTTGCCTACCTATTATAGAGTAGACATAAAGCGTTTTTATTATTTACAAGATTCTATATTGATAACTTTAAGATTTTCCATTAAGTGTTCCTCTTGAGATAGTGAATCGACTGTGTATGAGGTTCCTCTGGAGTCTGAGACCCATAAATTTTGTCACATCTCTCTCTCTTATTATTTCAGTGTTCTTTCTATGCGATATGGAGAGTTTCATACCTGAGATCTAGGGACTTCGATGCCGGTAACCTCTACGATTTTTCGAACTTTTTTTTTTGGACCGGTACTATAGACTATAAGAGTGTTTCGTGCCAATCTACTGATTAGCGTAGGAATTCTCTTCTTTATTCTTGTACTGTTAATTCTTATTTTTTAACTCGTAAGTTCAACCAAAATATTTGTCGAGTTTAGTTCTCTTTTTTCAGTTTTTTTTTTCTCATTCTGTTTTATTACTAAATGATCTCAGGTTTCCAAGTCTGCCACTCTCTGGGTGGAGGAACAGGTTCTGGGATGGGAACGCTACTAATATCAAAGATCAGAGAAGAATACCCTGACAGGATGATGCTCACATTCTCCGTTTTCCCATCCCCCAAGGTCTCAGACACTGTGGTCGAACCATATAATGCAACTCTTTCTGTTCATCAGCTCGTGGAAAATGCAGACGAGTGCATGGTCTTGGATAATGAGGCCCTTTATGACATCTGCTTCCGGACACTGAAGCTCACCACCCCGAGCTGTGAGTTGTTCTCACTCTCCCTTCTATCTCGCTTTCCGAGTCAAAATTATCGATGAATTAGTTTACAAGTTCTTTTGATTGCTTCCAGTTGGTGACCTGAATCACCTGATCTCCGCTACCATGAGCGGCGTCACTTGCTGCCTCCGCTTCCCCGGGCAGCTGAACTCGGACCTCCGGAAGCTGGCTGTGAACTTGATCCCCTTCCCGCGGCTCCACTTCTTCATGGTCGGCTTCGCCCCGCTGACTTCCCGCGGCTCCCAGCAGTACCGGGCGCTAACCGTCCCAGAGCTCACCCAGCAAATGTGGGACGCGAAGAACATGATGTGCGCCGCCGACCCCCGCCACGGCCGCTACCTCACCGCCTCCGCCATGTTCCGGGGGAAGATGAGCACCAAGGAGGTGGACGAGCAGCTGATCAACGTGCAGAACAAGAACTCCTCCTACTTTGTGGAGTGGATCCCCAACAACGTCAAGTCCAGCGTCTGCGACATCCCCCCGAGGGGCCTCTCCATGGCGTCCACCTTCATCGGCAACTCCACCTCCATCCAGGAGATGTTCCACCGGGTCAGCGAGCAGTTCACCGCCATGTTCCGCCGCAAGGCCTTCCTCCACTGGTACACCGGCGAGGGCATGGACGAGATGGAATTTACCGAGGCCGAGAGCAACATGAACGACCTCGTCTCCGAGTACCAGCAGTACCAGGACGCCACCGCCGAAGACGACGGCGACTACGACGACGACGAGGAACCCGCCGCCGACGACCTGTGAACAGACCCCTCCCCCGCTAGGTAGATTTCCACTCCTATTACCATCTCTCCTTCTTGCGTTGGTCAGTGTCTTCCTTGGGTTCTTGGCTTAGAAATCGAGCGGTCGTGGTTATTATGCCTCCTTCGATGATGGTGATAATGTAGGTATGTTTGTTCGTTCGTTTGTTTGTTTGTTTGTTCGTGGGATTGTCGTTGTCATCCTGATTGATATCTAATTAATTCTCAGGTAGAGAGAGAGAGAGAGAGAGAGAGAGAGAGAGAGAGAGAGACTCCAACCCACTTCCCTGCTCTGTTTTTTCTCCGTTTTTTGTTATTACGATCAATAATCTACGTACAGATGCCGTGCCCTGCAGCCACCATCTACAGATCTTTCCCTCTCTGATGAGCTCCCAGTTAGCAGGAAGGAGGGGGGAAAAAAGGCCTTCGCTTCCTCCCAAGCTCCGCCGCCCGCTCACCGCCGCCCACAGGTGGCCCGAAGCCTGCTGAGGCTGCTCCCTTGCTGCTGCTTTACAGAAGGTTGCCGGTGTCCGATCCCCCCCTGTCTGGGAATATCTTGCAGCTCCATCACCTGTATCGTCCGCTGCTTCTTCGCTGCAACCCCACAATTAAAACCCCCGTTGACCCACATCATCGTCAATGTCAACGCCATCAGACCACGGCACAGAAGATGGCCCGGTCAAACCCAAATCGGCGGATTACTTGACTTACCGTTCTCGGCCTGTTGGTACCCTTCGTGAAGCTTCCTCTTGGCAGCTTCCAACTTCACCCGGACCGACATTTCCTCCGCTGACTTGCACTTCTACAGAGACAGAGACAGAGATCAGATAAATGCTACGCATTGACCCTGAATTGAAGATGCACTGCTCCTGCCACTCACATCGTGGCGATCTACCAATGGCGGCTTCTTCGGTGCTGTCCCCACGGCTGGTCCCTGCCGCCGCTGGGCCGCCATCCCGCCGGCGAGCTTGCCCTCTACAACAGGTTCCTGGGGTCTCCCTGGCCCGGTGGCCATACCAGAAACAGACTGATCTCTCCGCCGGCTGACTGGCCCCAGCTGCTTCGGCCCACTCCTCCCAAGATCCTCCGCATGCCTGTTCACGGCGTCCGGCGGCCCCGCCCGACCGGCCGCCGCCGCCGCCGCCACCTTCATCGAATCGCCTGGGTATCCTTCACCACCTTGGAGATCTTCACCCAAAAAAAAAAAAACACAAAAATTAAGCTAAGCTACTCACTACCCACACAAATCCATACAATTTTCACACCCAAAAGAGAAACTCACTTCCATCGTCGTCCATGCCGTCGAAGAACTTCGCGATCGACATCCCAAAGAGGATCAAAAACACAAGCTTTTTCAGTTTTTTTTATTTTTAATTTAGGGCAGAAAGAACAGCAAGGAGACTTGGTTGCTTGGCTCTACCTGGGAGAGCTCCAAACTGGGCTGGGTAGTGAAGAGGATGCCTTCGTCCATGGGCGGCGACGGGAGCCCCTCCTCATCATCCACCACCGAGGGGTTCACAGATTCAGGGGTGCCCTCTGCAACCAACCAACCAAACATGAATGACGAACAGTGGGCGATCGAGTTCCTTCAAGAGAAGTAATGACGGCATTGGGCGATCATCTTACCAGTAAGAGCGGCGGTGGACACCCACTCGTCGACCAGAACCTTCCACCCTCTGCAAAAGTGAGAAAAATACCGGATAAATGAGGAGTATTTAAGCTGCCAGATTAAGAAAAGATTATGCATGAAATCCAGATCGACGAGTAGCTCAATATTCTCAAATAAAAAAATGCGGTTGTTTTTATTGCCTGATTAATATCACCCATCTTGGTGAAGTCAAAGGTGTTTTCTTTTTTTTTTTGAGAAAAAAAATCAGATTTTGATGGGTACCCAGTTCATTCCCAGTAATCTATTTAGGGAAATCACCAGAGTTTGATGCTGACCGGCGCCGATTTATTGTAGATTCGCATGCAAAACACCGAAGAAGATGGGGAGTTCAAGTCAACGGGTTAAGAATGGGCATACTCGATCAGAGTCCGCACAAGGGCGCGTATCTGCTTTGAGCTGTGCTTTCGGAGCCCGCTGACCGCCTTCCCAATCTCCGTCACCTGCATTGATCGAACGGAAACAGTGGAGCTGACTATGAGCCTACTTGGCTCTTTCTTCTCAAGATACATGGAAAGGTAGGCGTGTGCATACAAAAATATCTAGAGAGAGAGAGAGAAGTCAACCTTGAGGGCTTCTACTGACAGAACCATCAACTGGAGCCTCCTGAGCGATTCGAACAACACGGAGTCAGTCTGCGGACGATTGAGGACAGGAGGAAGTGGCTGTTAGTTCTTCCCGGAGGAGCCAAAGGGGCCCAGATTTTTCTGAGTTTTGTCGATTAGTGTTTTCAAGAAATCATCAAAACGAAAAGATATAACGGAAAAACCATTCAAATCCAAATCATCGAAGCTAAGACGCAGCAAGAATTGGAGCCGAAGAACAGGCATCGAGTTCTAGATGATTTAAGGAGAACAAAACGAAGAAAAAAACGAGCTCGAAGCTCGCAAGAGTTTCCGGAGAGAAGCAAACCTCGTCGTCCTTGTGGAAGAGAATCTCTTTGATCCTCAGAACCTCCCCGATCATCTGGGTCTCCTCCTCGATCTCCTCCGTCAACGCCTCGGCCTCGTCGTAGCTGTAATTGCTCACCACCATCTTCACATCCTCCTCCCCTTTTATGCTGCACCTGCTGCTGGCCTTCCTCTCCTTTGCACAACCAGCGGCGGCGGGGGCGCCGCCGTCGTCTCCCTCTTCCTCCTCCGGCGATGCCGGCCTGGCCTTCTCGCAGCCATGGCATCTGGGCAGCTGACACGAGAAGAGAACCAGCGCTATCCGATCCCTCCGCCGCCGGAGCTCCTCCGGGCAATCGGCCGCCGCCACGAGGATCGCCTGCTCGATCACCTCGAAGATGCTCGAGTCGGCGCTGCGGAAGTACTTCCGCCAGTAGTCCAGCCGCGCGGATCTCTCCGCCATGATGGTCGCAGAGAAATCAGGTCGAAAGGGCAGGAAGAAACCCACCGATGGGGAACGATCAGAAGTTGTGGGGTTGTCGATATCGGTTTCAAGAACCAGGACCCAGTTTTTGATTCTTTAATCGTATGATGGAGAAAAACAATCCGGCGAACGATAATCAGATTATCTTTTCTCAGGCGTCTTCTTCTTCTTCTTCTTCTTCTTCTTCTTCTTCTGCCTCTTTTTCCTGCTCTCCGATTTAACCGGAAGGAGGAAGGGGAAGCGGGGGAGGAGGGAGGCCGAGAGGAAAAACGCCCACCAAAAATCACGGAGAGGAGCAACTGGGAGGGCCCCAGAAATCCCCCCCACCCCCCCCCCTTTCCTCTCCCCTCTCCCCACACGAAGAGAGAGAGAGAGAGAGTTGAAGAACGGGGAAGGTCGGCAGATTTTCCTAACAGCGAGAGATTCAACTCCGTAAAAAAAGGGGGGGGGGGGAGAGGGAAGAAAACAGGCCGATTCAACTTCCCATCCGCAATCTCATCCTCAACCGATTTTCACTTCTGCCCACCCACCTGCGTTCATCCTCTGTGGTCAAAACAGAACATTCCCTCTGGCAGTAGAGAGAGAAAGAGAGAGTGTGTGTGTGTGTGAGAGAGAGAAGGGAACCACACTTGGGTCAGGAGCTACCCGGTATCCCCCACATTCTCTCTCTAAAATGCGACGCGCCCATGGTATTTGTCTTAGCAAGAGAGCCTCTGGTTCACCTAAAACAGACGGTTTTGCAGAGAATTCTCCTTCGGACTTCGGCTTCGGTGAATGTATTAAAATGAGCATAACCTCCCGAGGAGGAAAGATCTCATCTTTTCTCGTAATTAAATCCCTCAGCAGCTCCCCAGCTCTGAAGTGATAGATTCCCCGCAGATGAAGACGAAGACTCCCGAGGTCTGGATGTGGGTTAGAGAGAGAAAGATAGGTAGAGAGATATAGAGATAGAAAGAGAGAGAGAGGGTCGTGTCTATATTTATTGTCCGACAGGTGGGCCCGGGAGGACTGAACGGACACAGGTAGCATCGGCCGATTGCAGCTCAGCCCATCCGACGGTCATCCTTCGCCCCATTATGGGAAGTCCCTTCCCAACGGCGGGTCTCCCATAATGCCGCCGCCGCCGCAGTTTGACCCACCGACAGGTCACCAATTGACGATTCCCAACGGAAGAAATCCGCCGTCTCTTCAGCGCCGTCAAACGCTGCGGGGGTTGACATCTACATCTCTTCGACCGGTAAACAGTCTGCCTTCCGCCCCTGCATTTCCCACGTGACTTTCAAAATTTTAAAAAAACTCATTTTTTAAAAGTTTTAGAGAGCTTGGTTGTAAAAATCACATTTTTTTTGAGAAAAATATCTCCAGGCTGAGAAAGTCGGCGGCCCGGGCCCGCAACCTAGAGTTTTGACTTTCTTCGGGCCACCTGTTAATTGGGCTTTGACTATCAGTAGGGGCTCGGCCCCCACTGCGGCAGAAGTCGCGTAGGAGTTCTATGGAGGTCGAGCTTCCCACGTTGACCGTGAAAGCCGCCTGTCGCGTTCTGTGAAGCTAGATATCATTGGTCAACGTTCAAGTGGTTGGGTTTCTCTTCAAAAATGGGCCCCACTAAGGCACCTTCCCCTACGGGACGCGTCGATGGGACTCCGCGGTTTTGACCTTCCCGGTGGCGGCTCCAACTCGGCAACGAGTTTTATTTCCGGGTTGCCTTCGAGGACCGTTGAGGTCCCGGCGTTCTGTCCGTTGGATTCCGAATGGGCGGCAGATGTAGAATGAGGGAATACGGAACGGCAACCACGTGTCGCACGATTGTCAAAGTACCCTCCAGTCAACCCGAGCTGGATGTTGTGGTCCTCCAGCTGCTCGGTACCGTCTGATCCCCGAAGCCTACTGCTTATCCAGGGAACCCTCTTCACCGTCCGATGGATAATGTCCGGTGAGGATTCCCATACGTTTTCTGCAAGCGGGCCCCCTCTTGTATTCACATATTATATTTATCTCCTACCCCTACACAGAATGAGAGCAATAATGGTTATTCTAATTTTTCTTCTGAAGGAGAAATTTCCATGCCATGAGAAAAGATTATTTTCAAATTATGTAAATAAGACGAAAATAAATATTCTTGATGGTTTTAGAAAATTCAACAAATAGTCAGACATCCATGTTGTTAAGACAATGATGGACCAATCAAATTGAAAAGTCATATTTGATTCTTTCAATCTTAATGTTTACCATAATTAGACCTTGAAATGGAACACAAAAAATTAAATTATATGAGAAAATTCAACCTTGCTGAAATGTAGTCTAATTTGCGAAAAAAAAGCAGATTATATCATACAATTACCTACTAGAAAAATGATTTTGTTCATGATCAAAAGTTAAATTGTTTTGAAGTGAAACATTGATTTTGAAATGTTGTATGAATCATTGATTAAATGTTTTAATATCCACTTTATAAACATTATCCACCAAAATTAATTTGAAGATGTAATTAGTGAACTTTAGATCGTCTAATTATGTGAGCATATATTTCCTAGCAATCCATCATACATATGATTACTAAGATCTTCTATTGACTAACATGATTATTGTACTTTGTGGTAAATCAAGAACAAGTAATTGGACTATGTACTGGTCTTATGCTTCGAAGGTTAAAGTGAAAATGTAGCACTTAATTATTCAAATAATTTTTGAGACCTAAATTATTGTCAAAAATATAAGTAGATAAACTTAAGAAAAGATCATTGAAAGTTGAAGATGATCTAACAAAAAGTGCCAATAAATTTTAATAATTATAATTATTATAGTCATTTTAATCCTAAGATGTAATTTTTGGAAAAAGTTCATGCACTAATCTGACAGCTAATCACTAGATGTCCAAAATCTCTTCAGATGGATAGAAGACTTCAACTCAACCAATAAAAAATAGTGGTGCAATTAATCTAGCCTTATATCTTTCTGCACTAGCTTATAAGCTTGTCCATACCCAAAAAGAGAAGAACTACCACTACTCAACAATTTCAAGATAAAAGAAAACAAATCTAAGATTCAAAGCTGCCAAGGAAAATAAGAAATGATTTTAGCCCACCTAAACCCGTGGAAGACACTTCCCAAAGCTATGTATGATTTGGTCATTTATGTATACCAATCAGTGGTGCCATGAGCTAAATGTGCACTTAGGTTTGACATCACATTGAGTTGTTTGGAGTGTTAGACCTACAAACCCAATGGAAGAGTGGCATTCCTATAACAGGTTATCTGATAAATGAGAGCTAGAAACCTAGTTGATGATGACCTACAATGCAAAGATAAGTTTTCTAGCATAGATAACGGAGTAGATTATAAGAGGGCAAAAAAGATATTTCCTTGTCCAGCATAGAGTAACATGTCTCCAATATCCACTTCATTAAGGAAGAAATTTGATCTTCCAAGTGAATAGTATCTTTCAATGTAGAAAAAACTTGAGGGTGAGTTATTTTCTTATAGTGAAGAATAATGAAAAATAAATAATTTTAGAAATTTTAAATGCAATAAAATGTAACAGTAAAAAGGCTATACAGTGGAAGATCCAAGTGGGGTCATTTAGGAGGCTTATGAAGCTTGGAATGTATTTCTCTTCATTTAGAAAATTTCATTTCGTGCCAATCTTTCATATCAAACCATCCTTTTGGGAATTGTGGAATGATTTTGAGCCAATTTAAGGAGGCACACATTTTAGTAGAAAAACATTTTTGGACAAGAATCAGTATTTTCTTTCTATTTCCCATAAGCATTCACATTTTTGCATCACCTCTACAACAGCCATTTCCAATAATATGTGATATCGTATAATTAATTAATTTAATACAGAGAAATATCAAGCTTTGTAGAGGGACATCGTACAGTTTACTTTCTAGGTTTTTCCTTGGAGCACCCACGTGCTGACTTCACACTTAGTTGACCAAGTTTGGGTCACACTCTGAATGTCCTCCGATGATCGGACATTGAAATGTCAAAGAGGCTGACCGTCAGTCAAAGTCATGGACATATGAAGAGTGTAGTGGGGGAAACGTAAGGTTGTGGGATGTGTTGACCGTGGTCAAACATGTGGTCAAAGTCTAGACCTCGCCCTACCAATGTTAATTTTGGGCCAGATGAGATGGGCATCCTGTACAGACCGCCAATTATAGTCAAAGAAATCAGGCCAACCGCAAGCCCAGCCAATTAATATGGTGAGCTTAAAAATTATCTCATTCTCCCCAATTCAATGCAAAAATCAGCTGGGTATCTCAGCCAGCGAACCACCAGCCTATTAAAACCTTATTAGGGCGTAGACGTCAACCTTAAACATCCCCAGAAAACAAGCTCAGCCCTCTACCTCAGGCAGAGAGAGAAAGAGAGAGAGAGAGAGAGAGGGCCATTACCACACCTACGTAAAATGAGACTATGTATTCAGATCATGCACCACTGAGAACACTGAGAACAATCAGAGACGGAAAACCCAGAAATAGTGAAAATTAATTGATGATCTACAAGTGAAGATCCACCATCGCCAAAAACTACCTGGACCATCAGCCAAAAAAAGGCTGATTACACATATCTGATCGTAATCAGGCCAAAAAAGGGGATGTTGCCAGCTCTATACAGACAAAATGGGGAGAAGATCCCAAAATGAAACCATACCTGATGTCAAGGTGAGGTTTTCTAAGAAGCTCACAACTTCATGACAGTCCGAAGGTCCTCCACCCTCATCTGCCTCTGCTCTTCCTGTTCCTTCCTCCCAAATGCACCCTTTGCCAGTGTATTCTTCTTCTCTTGCAGTTGCAGTATCCTCTCCTCAATGGTGCCCCTCACAACAAGCCTTACCACTCTCACTTCCTCTCTCTGGCCGATGCGGTGCACCCTGTCCATTGCCTGCTCCTCAACCGCAGGATTCCACCATGGTTCGAGGAGATACACCCTCGATGCTGCGGTCAGATTGATTCCGGCACCCGATGCCTTGAGGCTGGCCAGAAGGACGGTGGGCATGTCTCCCTCGCTGCCACTACTGAGCTCCTCAATAACCTGGGTTCTCTTCCTCAAGCTCATCGAGCCATCCAATCTCAGGACCCGAAAACCGGCAGCCTTGAGGGGCTCTTCAAGCAGCAGCAGAAACTTCCTGAATTGTGAGAATATCACAGATCGCACCGACGGCTCCTGCACCTTAGTCGCCTGAAGCAACTTCAGTAGAACAGAGACCTTGGAAGAGGGAGGCCTGCCGCCAGTTTCGACCTTCTCTTCGTCAGATGGTGGCTTCGGAGCTAGAAAGATGTCAGACCTTGATAAGGAATGTCGGCAAATGGGGCATCGGGCGTTGACTTGCTTGATTGTTCTCAATATGCAGACCTCACAGAAGATGTGGGCACAACATGTGATGACCGTTTTTTTGGGGGGAGAGAGGCAAACAGGGCAGTCAAAGTCATCTCCATCCTGAACCAAAGTTACCAACTTTTCAATCAAGTCAGGGTTCCGAGAGACATCTGCACCAAGTTTTAAACTCCACTGGTCATGCTTGGAAGGAAAAATATATATATATATGAAGAAAAAAGAGGAGGAAAATCATGCAGCCCAAAAAAAGCACAGTTGATGTGGGATATTTAGTCCAAGCTAGATCTCCATTTTACACGGATATACATACTTTTGAAAAATTAGTAGTTGGCTTGTATTCATAACTCGATCCACTTCTTATATTAACATACATGCTTTCAACAAATTATGTATGCATTTAAGATCATAGTTTGATCTCCAGTAAGAAGAAATTTCGAAAAACCATAAGAATTTAGAGGATTGAGCGCTCTACCTTTGAGAGCATTGGACGGAAGAAGGGATCTAATATTTGATGGGAACAAGTTCAAATCATTACAGATCTGACGAAGTCGCAATATTATATGAAGCACTGTAGAATAGTTGCGCATTAGAGTCTCGTCGTCTATAAAGTCCCTTACTGTGGCCTGTGCTTCTGCTTCCAATAGATCATACTGCTCACGCTCCTCAGCAGAAAGATCAACATAACAAGTCTCAACAATTTTTGGTGGCAGTCCTACTAAGTTCTTGGTGGAAGTCTCAGAATCTTTAGTCCTCCTCAAGGAAATAGTTTGCATCAATACCTAAAAATGAAATTAATTTGTTATCACATTAATGATCTTGGACACAACACATTGCCCGAATAATTTTCCAATGCCCTTTGAACGGTCATAAAGTGAAGCCTCAAACCAATAATAATAAGAGTGAACAATATACTGCTGAATGATATGCAATGCCAGTAAACCTATGTCATTCTCGTAATGATTATCATGATAAGCAGTCAGTCAGTCTGTCATAAAATCAGAATTGCAATTAATCATCTTTAAAACTGAACACAAAGGCAATGAAGAAACACCGCATGGAGTTCTCTGGGATTACGAAAGCTTCTGGAAATCCCTTTTCATGAATTGAAAGAATGTCTATGATGCACATGCAATACAAAGTTTCCATGGAGTTCAAAGGTGTAATATGCTTAAAGAAGACCAATACGACGTCAAAGTTCACATCAAACTAGGGAAACTTGGCATGTCCTTTAAAATAGTTGTAACAAACTTTCGTCCAAGATGCATCATCGTTGAACTTTAAAACTCAAGCACCTAATATGCTCCGCAATATGATGCACATGTAAACCAAGTTCAGAAATAATTCTAAAGTACGATATCATCTATAGGTAGCCTCAAACATTGGAGTTCACATCCAACTGGTGAGATGATAGCATTTAAATGTATACATAAGGCACTGATGTTTTGACTTAAATCACTTTCATGTGTAGTGTTTCTATTTTAAACTTCATTGTTCAAAAAGAGAATCTTTTAATATTCAGTGCATGGACTTCTCCAGTATTAATCAGGGCATTGAAGTCTCTGTGCTCGAACTCGCTTCAGAAACAATTGCAAGTACACAGTGCTTGAAGCAATTATGAAAGTAAGATTCTTGTTTCCCTTTTAGCTAAAGATGCGATCATTTGTTCTTTTTGGTAACTGCTTTAGTTAAATTCAAACGTCAGAAGGATCTGATTACATATGCACTAAACACTCAGAACTCTAAACAAGAAATACCTACAGAAATATGTAATGATTCCCTAAACATGGTAAGCATTACCTTTTAGCTATTCAACCAATATTAAACACCCCTGGAAAAGAAAGGGGGAAACATAAGACATTTGCCACAACAGAGTTGGAGACATCACGGGTGTAGTACAATGTTTAAAGAACAAATAGGTGATTGGCGTTTAGAAATTAAATTTTCTCCCAGATAGAATACTATCCGGCAAAACACATGTGCCGAGAATAAATCACTCGAAATTTTGTCTTAAAACATCTAGAAATGTGCAAGATCGTATTCACGACGGTTACATAATTTTACAATTCAGGAAACTCCTCGCACCATCAAACTTGAAACATTTTCATGCATTTTCTCAATAAATGAATCAAGAACATTGTGCATCTAATACTACCTGTAACCGTGACAGTCCACACTTGCTTCCCTGATCCAATGGGCGTTGCACAAGCCTTTGCCAATAGCTCCTCACTGAAAATGGCTGGAATCTCAAAAACGCCATGAGAGAGAACAAATCAAAGGAATTATTCTGTATGGGTGTCCCCGTGACTGCCCACCTCCTCTCAGCCTTCAGAGCAATGACAGCCTTGGTCTGCTGTGCAGCAAAGTTCTTGATCAGATGAGCTTCATCCAAAACAACCCTGAACCATTCCATCTGCTTCATCGGGGACTCGGGTGAGATGAACTCCGTTGACAGGGTCGTATACGTCGTCAAGACAATATCATACCTCATCAGCTCTGCCACATCTTTGGTCCGCTCACCATAATACATGTACACCTTCAAGCTGCCTGGCCTGGTGTGCTCCTCTAACTGTGTAATCCACGAGGTAAAGACTGACGGAGGGCACACAACCAATGTAGTCTTGGGCCCGAATGAGCCAACATCCGAAGACAAGCCCTCACTACCAGTTTTCCGTTTCTTGTGAGTGCTGACAGGTTTCTTGCAGGTTCTAGACCTCTTACCAGAGGATGCAACAGGGAGGGCATTATTACCTTCATCACCTGAAGCATATTTTCCTTTACCAGTGGCGATAAGAGAGAGCAAGGTGAGGGTCTTACCCAAGCCCATGTCGTCCGCAAAGATCCCTCCCCTTAGAGGCTCCGGTCTCTCACCCGTCTGATGGTTTGTCAGAATGTTCAGATATGTTCCATCTCTCTCCTCCCAGAAAGGAGGCAGCTCCATTGCGTTCTCTCTGTGTAGCATCCACCCTAATCCTTCCTTCTGGTGAGGAAATAACTCCGACGTGATCACCTCTTTCGGGGGTTCCCGGGGCTTCACGATCCCATCAACATCCTCACGGACTAGTGCAAATATCTGGTCCAAGACGGAATCATCGTTCGACTTAGGAGGGTTCTTCTCCAAAATGAAGGCAGCCTCCGAGAAACCGAACGCGGCGTCAGGATCCTCAATTAGCTCCAGGCCGCCGGCGTCGATGGCAGAGCGGACAATCACCACAGCACCGGGGCGAGCAAAGATGTGTACCTGACACGGGAGGCGGAATTGGCTGGAATTCCTGTGGGGCTTGGGGACGATGCCCTCGACGATGACGAAATGGGAGTCAATCAGGGGAGCGAGCACGGCAGCGGCGGAGCGCTCGATGTGGCCGACCTGGACCGACCGGGTGTTCAGGACCTTGATTGCATTGGTATCGAAGGGGTTAAGGGGCTCCCTGACGAGCCCCACCATCTCCCGACTGTTGATGGTGCCGCTGTAATGGTGCATCCCGACGATGTTCGCGATGACGAATCCAACCAGGTAGGGCTCGGGAACACACTGCTGCTCCTGCTGCGATGAGGATGATGAGGCTCCCAATGCCTCCGTCTCCCCCTCGGAACAGTCGCCATGCTCCACTTGCCTCATGGCTGATGGGTGTGGAAGAGAGAGAGAGAGAGAGAGAGAGAGAGAGAAAGGAGAGAGGGCGAAGGAAGAAACTGGCGGGGGAGGGAGGCTTAGGGATCGTTTGAAAGTGTCCTGTTGTCCCGCGGGAATAGTTATGTAGAACTGGGAAGTTGTCCCGGAAGAAGAGACGTCGCGAACTATCGAGAGCCTAAGTGAGGCGCGAATAAACTACACCTCGGATCACCAGACACTACACTCTCTCATTATGGCGGTGACCGACGAGACAGAATCGGATCGGTCAGGCCGGCCGGTCCATCCAGAACTCGGATCGGGTTTAGACCTATTAATGGTAAAAACTTAAATAAATAATTAAGAGGCTCATTATCAAATAATCTCTATTTTGAAGACGAAGAATTTTATATTTTATTTATTTTATTCATTAATTTTCATTATTTTCGACCAGTAATATTTAATGCTCATTTTTTAAGCAATCAGTCTAAAAAGAGTAATCAATTTTAAATCATTACTGTTTTAAAAACACAAGAAAAACAAAAAATCCTTGTAGATAATTTGACTAATTCAATAATTATTACTAATTATCAACTTCTACGTTGTATTACGCGGATAACTTCTCTCTCTCTCTCTCTTTCTCTCTCGCTCGCTCGTGCCCGGGCGGCGGAAGAAGAGGGCAATCCGCCAGCCCCCACCTCGTGAAGCACCGCCCATTCGCCACCGGCAGCCCACGTTCATGGGCCCTCCGCTGGGCCGAAGCGGTGCAATTATGAAGGAAAGCCTCTCTCGCTCTCTCTCTCTCTCGCTCTCTCTCTCTCTCGCTCATCACTCACAGTTCCCTTATTGAAGAGAGAGGAAAGGGAGACGCATTGGCAAGTCCTGGGAACAGATGGAACGGAGGAGTCTTCCGTTCTCCTGTATGTTCTTGGCCCTTGCTTGCCTGGTGCTTCTCCAGAGCGTCCATGGCGCCGAGGGGTACCGGAACTACACCGTGGGGGACTCCCTCGGGTGGTACGACAAGCTCAAGGAGCCCAAGGTCGACTATAAGAAGTGGGTCGCTGGCAAGAACTTCAGCCTCGGAGATTTCCTCAGTAAGCCTCTCTCTCTCTCTCTCTCTCTCTCTCTCTCTCTCTCTCTCTCTCTCTCTCTCTCTCTCTCTCTCTCTCTCTCTCTCTCTCTCTCTCTGTCTATCTATCTATCTATCTATCTATCTATCTATCTATCTATCTATCTATCTATCTATCTATCTATCTATCTATCTATCTATCTATCTATCTATCTATCTATCTTTTCTTTGTTCCGTGGAGAAGATGTTTTTTGCTTTGCCACAACCAATGATTAGGGTCATCGCATTAATTCAGATTTCTTTTTTCAGTTCTGTGCTTCTGTGTAGGGTGATCCAGTAGAGAGAGAGAGAGAGAGAGAGAGAGAGAGGCAATGTGCTTCATTGATACCCATATGGGGGAATTACTGGAACCCGGCAGAGTCCCGTCTTCCATAGGAAAGATGGCGAGTACCCACTTGATTCGATCCCCATTTTTGCCAGTTTCAAGATCGAAACTTCTCTGAGCCGACACCAATTTGCCCTCTCTCTCTCTCTCTCTCTCTCTCTCTCTCTCTCTCCTCTCCAGCTGTGGTGGATTGGTGCAATTAAAAACTACTCTTTCCTGAAGATCCGAGAAGCACGGACAAACTCATTTCACCATCTCTCTCTCTACAGTCTTCAACACGGACAAGAACCACTCGGTGGTCCAGACGTACAACGCGACGACCTACCAGCGGTGCGACTACAAGAACGCCGAGGACGACACCGTCCTCTGGTCCACCGGCCCCCCGAGCTTCGACGGCGTGCCCGTCTCCATCGCCGTCGCGCTGGTGGCGGAGGGCATGAACTACTTCTTCTCCGGCCTCTACGCCGGCGCGCAGTGCAGGCACGGCCAGCGCTTCAAGATCAACGTCACCCACGGCCACGGCCTGCCGGAGAGCCTCCGCAACCCGCCGCCGGCCGCGGAAGCACCGCCACCCGACGACGGCGGCGTGCCGGAGACCACCGTCCCCTACGACTTCAGCCACCCGAAGCCAATGCAGGAGGGTATGGCCTCCGGCGGCCGGCGGCGCCACTCCGCGGTTGACCTTGCAGGGCTTCTCGCCGCCGTCTTCTTACTGGTATATATGGGGGGGAAACCTTAACATAATCAATAATATACCCAATGACCGATTCATTTGGGTATCTTTCCAAGCTCCTGATGCCAAACTTTTACGTCATTAATAAATCACTTATGCTATTTTTGCTGTTATTTACCAAGACAGATTTCAAAACGAAATCAAACCAAACAAAAAGAGGAACGAAAGAGCCACATCTTATTCCTCTGCCATGTGATCACACATCAGTCAACTTACATACATCACATACATTTTTCATATAGTTTATGTATATATATAGTTTATATATACCAGTCCAAACCCCATGGAAGAAAGAGGGTGGAGGGAAGAAACCCACTTACGTTTTCTCGGTCTCCCCAAGATCAAATCTTGGAGGCGTCGGCGGTGATCCGGGTCAACGCGGTGGCGGCTTTGGACCCCGACGGCCGCCCGAGTTGCTTGCAGATGAACTCTCCGGCGGCGATCACCTTCCCAAGGTCAACGCCCGTCTTTATCCCCAGCCCACTGAGCATGTACACCACGTCTTCAGTGGCCACGTTGCCGGAAGCTCCCTTGGCATAGGGGCAGCCCCCAAGCCCCGCCACCGAGGAGTCAACGGTGCCGATCCCCATCTGCAGCAGCATATTCATCATCGCATGGATTGGGCCACCTCCCTCTGGATTCTAATCAGTTCTATGAGAACTGCGGATAATAATTCCCACTTACTTGGAGGGAGACCAAGATGTTGGGGAGAGCTTGCCCGTAGGTGTCGTGGAAGTGGACGGCGAGCTTCTCGACCGGCACGACCGACATCACCGCCTCCAGCATTGGAAACACGGTGCCTGCCATGGATGAATGTATAATGTGTAGATTGCCATTAATAACCAACGTTTCTTCCAGGAATCTGGGAAAAGGAGAGAGAAGAAATGGTTGACAATCATACCCGGAGTACCGACGCCGACTGTGTCGCCGAGGGAGATCTCGTAGCAGCCCATGTCATGAAGCTCCTTCGCCACATAAGCCACCTTAGAAGGGGGGACGTGGCCTTCCACGGGGCAACCCACGATGCATGATACATACCTACGTCAGGAGCAAGCTGCCTTCCAGTCAGCAAAAGTCAACGCGATCTCAGGCACTGCGTATAATCGAACATCAAAAGTCAAACCAGGACTGTACCCGCGGACGGGTATCATCTTCTTCTTAGCGGCGGCAACAACCTCACGATAACGCACAAGGCTGTCTTCGATGCTGCAGTTGATGTTTGACTTTGAAAAAGACTCAGAAGCTGATGCAAAAATGGCAATTTCCTTGGCACCAGCTGCAATGGCCGCGTCAAACCCTTTCAGATTGGGCGTCAACACAGGAAGCCTCACGCCCCCCAACTCCCGAACTTCTCTCATCACATCCTTCGCATCCGCCAGCTGCGATTTGGTGTGGATGCAATGCAAGAGAGTTGACTCGGATTAGTTTCGGGAGTAGCTTCCAATCTTGAGTCATAGGCTCAAACTGTTGGGGGGATGAATCCAAGCCACACAAAATCAATATGGGTATCTCCTTTCCGAACTAGCCGTTTTTGAAGAATTTTTTTGTCTACACCAGATTATTATTAATTCATATAAATGATACCGAACAAGAGGCAAAGATGATTATGAAGAAGGAATTTAATAATCAAATTAAAAATGAGACTTAAAACGATAATTGCTTGATTTCCCATTATTAGCAAAAACATGTTCAAGTTATTTTGCCTTTTTTTTTTCAATCTCTGCTTGCTAATTATATCAATAAAAATCTAAAATTTTATCAAATATTCACGGAAAATATTCCAGATTCAAAGGTTTAGAGCATGGTTGCAGCACCTCTAACACGTAAATGAAAAACAAAGAACAAAATCTTTTCTCAAGGCTGAACATAAACGTTGGGCAGTATCCTCATTTAAGTGCGGAAGAATTATGTGGAAAGCTTTTGTTTCATTTAATGAAAGTTTAGAGTTCAATATTCAAGTCAAAACATGCGCGGGTATCGGAATAAATGCAGTATCCCCATCATAATATTCAAGAATAATAGAGATATGATTGATTATAAACGTGGGTAGAAATTGATAAGTGAAAAAAAATAATATGAAAAGTCAATAATGTTGTAAAACCGCCCAACATAAGTAGATCCAGTAAACAACAACGGAGAAGAAGAAAGAAGACTCTCTTGAAACTGAAAAAAGAAAGATCACAAGAAGCTGAAAAAAGGATCTCCCTTGAAACTAAAGAAAAGAAAACAGAAAAGAGAAGAAAAAAAAAACGCAACCAGGCAGATAAGCAGACACAGTAGTGCCACCCTACCACATCTCCCAGCAGAGCATGCTTTCAATGGCATGCTTAATATCCATTTCAACAATAATTATTAAATAATTTCCTAATGTAAAGCATCCAAATCTATCAAGATTTGAATTACTAACTATGAATTATGTTTCAAACCGTTGGATTATCTTCAACATGCATAAACCAGAGAGTGATTGCTGCAGGTTTGTTGTTCTTCTGAGAGCCAGTAGATCGTAAAATAGAGGTCGGTATACATAAGCAAAAAGACTAAAAAATCATATCGCCAAAAGCAGAAACATTCATCACCTGTGGTACCCACTTTGGAGAGACAAAACTTGTTGCTTCAACAACAGGTAACCCAGAAGAAGCCAATTTTCTTATCAGTTCAATTTTCACGGTCGCAGGAACAATGCTCTTCTCGTTCTGCAGTCCATCTCTGGCCCCAACTTCCACGATCTTTACAAATTTTGGCAAACCTTTTAAGAACTGTGAGCTCTGTGTCAGGACCTCATCTTTACCTCAATGAAATTGTGAAATTCCTAAAAAGAGATTACTAGAAAAATGGATGTAAAACAACAACGTGCGCATTCACGTGAAACCCAGATAAAACGAGGCTTTACTGTGGACCAAAACTCAGACTTGAAGTTTACATATCATTGATTTATGTACACAGCATCTTGCAAAAGCTCATGATAAGCAGGTGTATGGTCACCCTAATCAGAATTTTTGACAATGGTCGGGATCAAGAACGAAAGCAATTTAATATCCACCGAATTCTGATTCAAATAATATGTTACCAACATTAAACATCAGCGATGCAATCTTTCATTCTGGGAGGTTCCAGTGTCTAAAGTAGTGCCTATTGCATTCCATAAAGCACATTCACAATTTGTCCAGGGATTTTTGTTAGAGCACACTGACATCGTATACTCATATCCTTTTTCTGTCGGATATTTAAAAAAGTATACCATCCACATCTCATTAAAGAAAAAAAACGAAAGGAAGGTTGACAATGTTTACGGCCACAAGCCCCTCACACTGTCATCCAGTTTTCACCTGTCATTCAATGAATTTATTACGGTAAAACTAACACATGTTATGGCCTCGCTGCATTATTACCCCACACTTCAAACATCGTAGGCTTATACTCTGTTTAAGAAAATTTTATGCAACTAAGCGTGGAAACAAAGCATAAACTCAAGAACAAACCAGATTATGTAATACCATTCTTCATTCAAATAGATACATATACCCCAAGACAAACAATTGTAGTACATCATAGAATTTCCGACAGTTTGTCATTTCGAAACAAGAAAGGAAACACAGGATTAAAGGTAAGAAAAAAAATATACAGAAGAAGGTTAACAAAGAACAAGGGAAATGCCTCACAATTGCATGTACCTTGTTTGCAAAACTGCTTGCGTCTTTGCCGTTCAAAGATGAACTGTAGTGACGCTCATGCAAAGATTGTGTATCATAAATGCTATTGAAGGGCGTTCGGTTCCTCCCATTGGATAGACCCCTTGAATCTCCTCTGAAGCCAACCCTTGCTTGCTTTCCCCAAGTATACTCTTCACTAAAGTAGAATGAAAATAATCAACGAAATTTCTTAGGTTTTATCATATTACAGATAAAAATGAGATCAAAGATTGCCACATCGGTGCATAGAAATCATAACAGAAATCAGGGAAGCGTAAACAGGCGAGAAAATGTAAACCGGCGTGGGAACACAGAACCTACACGAAATTGTATCTTTACATTCTGCGATATGCGATTCTCCATGTACACTTTCATTTATTTGCATGTAAGATTGCATTAAAACATTATTCACCAAGGTAATGGCTTCTTTTTGAAAACGTAGGCAATCATTTCACAGCAAAATTTTCCGTGGGAAAGCAAAAGACCATTCGTATCAGTGAGCAAAATTTCTCCCTAACAATATTATACTCATATTCCTAGAAGCAACAAACTGACTGTCACATCACTTTCAATAATTTGACCAGAACAAGAGACCACAGCATTCGGTGCTCAGTGAAGAACATTCCATTCATCACCAATTCGCCAAAGCTTTGCTTTTCAATTACCAAAATCCAAGAATAGAGTCCTATTGAGAAACCGTTCAGAGTTCTCATCAGCTTCCATCCACAAGTACCCGCATCCATTTCAAACAAGTAAAATGAATTCGTTGTTGTATTTTATTGGAATAACAAGAAGCATAAAAATGAAGTATACAACTGTGATGTCAAAGTCTACACAATGCGTCACCTAACACAGGGATAGTTTATCAGGAGAAAAAGGAACTTACTTGCAACTGTTTGAAGAGCTGCATTCCCTCCCTTCAGTTATGCAGTTTCCCAGTTCCATCTCATCCACTCTGGGCCTGCAATCACTAGAAGAGAACCTCCGCACCCTACCAGAACCATTCAATTTTGGCAGGCTCTCAATGAAAAGAGGTTCCTCTAAACTCGACATTGTGGGGCTGGAAAAAAAAAGAAGGGAAACTGGAGTAAATGCAGTTGACAATCTACCAGTCCACACCACATGCTTCACCAAAACGCTTGGTGTCACCATTGTATTGGCAACGAATGCATAGGTATTGAAAGAGGACGAACAAAGAGTTCAAGCATATGATCCAAAGGCAAATTAAGATGCCGATGAGGAGCCTTAGATCCTTACATACCAAACCCACGGCTAGTGCAATTATAAGAAGATCACAATTATATAGCACCCAACTAAGAATTGAAGAAAATAAAAACTGTCACTGCGGATTTTTGCTTGAAGATAAATAAAACTCCTATAAAAATCTTTCAAAAATGAGAAGCCAGGGGAGAATACAACCATCACATGACGAACAAGCTACACAGCAATTAAAAAATTTCCAAACGCGGAAAGCTTAACGTTCTAGAGAAAGAAAAGAAGAAGAAGAAGAGATCGACGGCAATTTCAGAGAAACCAACTCCAATAGATCCGACGAGATTGGGAAAAAAAAACAAAACTGACCTGGTTTGGCGACGCTTGGGGGAAGGGGGGGGTTAAAAAAACCGAGGGATTCCCAAAAGGAGGAAGCACAGATTCAGAGAAGATGGGTGGAACCGAACCCTAGCTTCCCCCCGTCACCCCGGCCTGGAAAACTTTTTACCACATGACGCTCGTTAATCAACAGTCCGGCAAGCTAATTTATTTCGGTGGTTGGTTGGGGGGGGGGACTCCAGAACGTAAGGTGGTCACCTGCCGGCGAGAAGAGGTCGCATGAAGAGGAGACGCATTCCCCCCCGCACAAGTCTTGGTGGTAGATGACCGGCCCCCATCCGTCCACAGAGAGGAGGCGAGAGAGAGAGATGTAGAGAGAGAAAGAGAGAGGAACGCAACGACGGGAAGGTATGGGGGACGGGGAGAGCACACAGGTATTTGGTGCGTATCGAAATGCACACAGCTGCACACACGCAAGACAGGCGTGAAGCAACGTTGCAGCTATTGACGTGTCATTCTTTCACCCGTAATTTCACTTCAATCTCACCAATCGACACGTACCAAGTGAATCCCCGGCCCACTCAATATTTTATGCTGTTTTCAAACCAACCAGATGAAGCCTGGCCGTCCAGAAGAAGGGCACGTGGCGGCATCAGGGCCGTTAACGTCGCCACGAAAAGATTCCTCCATTTAATAATAAATGGGCTTGAAAAAATATATATACCACGAAAAAAAGGTGGCCCCGCCAAACGGATCTTCCAGACCTTCCCTCTGAAGACCGTTGACAATCTGGTCCACCCTTTTCGCAACCTGGTCGTCCAATTCATTTGACCCGTCCCCGGTCAAGCTATCCCCCTCCCAAGTACTTTGACGTTCTTTAACGGCTGGGATTCATTCTGACGGGCGTTCACCATCTAGTGTGCCAACTGGTCTGACCCTCATCCAAGTCAACTTTCTGGATTTTCTTTTTATTTTCATGTAATATTTATAAAAATTAAAAAAAACTATTGGTGGTCCACAAAATCAGAATTTTTAAAATATAATTTGCTGCCCATTTTTTATTTTCGAATGATTTCCTATCGCTATGATTTTACGCCCACCAAAAAACTATTATTTTGGTAAAAAGCAATCTAAAACGCCCCAAAAATAGCATTTTAAAAGGAACGAAGAACAGGCCACATCTCATTCATCTGCCATGTGATCACACATCGGTCAACTTACTTACATCACATACACTTTCCATATAGTTTACGTATATGTATATAGGTTATATACCAGCAAGAGAGAGTGGGGAAGGGAACAAACCCACTTACTTTTTCTGGGTCTCCCCAAGATCAAATCTTGGAGATCCGGGTCAACGCGGTGGCGGCTCTGGAGAACGACGGCCGCCCAAGGTGATCGGAGATGAACTCTCCGGTTGCGATCACCTTCCCAAGGTCAACGCCCGTCTTTATCCCCAGCCCACTGAGCATGTACACCACGTCTTCAGTGGCCACGTTGCCGGCGGTTCCCTTGGTGTAGGGGCAGACCCCCACGCCGGCCACCGACGCGACAACCGCGCTGACACCCATCTGCAGCAGCATATTCAGCGTCCATGAAGATGGCCATCTCTCTGGACTACAACAAGCTCTCTCCCACTTACTTGGAGGGCGAACAGGATGTTGGGGAGAGCTTGCCCGTAGGTTCGTGGAAGTGGACGGCGAGCTTCTCGACCGGCACGACCGACATCACCGCCTCCAGCATTGGACATATGGTGCCTGCCGTGAATGAATGGATAATGCGTAGATTGCTATTAATAACCAACGCTTCTTCCAGGAATCTAGGAAAAGGAGAGAGAAGGAATGGTTGACGATCGTACTCGGAGTGCCACGCCGACTGTGTCGCCGAGGGAGATCTCGTAGCAGCCCATGTCGTGAAGCTCCTTCGCCATGTAAGCGACCCTAGAAGGGGGACGTGGCCTTCCACAGGGCAACCCACGGTGCTGGCTATGTACCTGCGTCGTCAGCAAAAGTCAACTCTGACCTCAGACACTGCGTATAATCGAACAGCAGAAGTCAAACCAGGAGTTACCCCCGGGCGGGTATCATCTTCTTCTTAGCGGCGGCGGCGGCAACCTCACGGTAACGAACGATGCTGTCCTCGATGCTGCAGTTGATGTTTGACTTTGACAAGGCTTCAGAAGCTGCTGTAAACACCGCGACTTCCTTGGCACCAGCTGCAATGGCCGCGTCAAACCCTTTCAGATTGGGCGTCAACACTGGAAGCCTCACGCCCCCCTACTCCCGAACTCCTCTCATCACATCCTTCGCATCCGCCAGCTGTGATTTGGTGTGGATGCAATGGAAGAGAGTTGACTCGGATTAGCTTCGGGAGTAGCTTCAAATCTGAGAATCATAGGCTCTAGCAGAACAAAATATGGTTTTTCATGGATTTTTTTCCGACCCAGATTATTATTATTTCTTGTAATAACCAATCAATTAGAACATTAATCGATTGTTTCATGGATTATTATTATTTCTTATAATAACAAATATTTTGTCAAGGATAAAAGAGAAACGTTGGACTGTATCTGCATTTTGTTTCAGTTAATGAAAGATTAGAGTTCAATATTAAAGTCAACGCATGCCAGGACAGTGGAAAAAATGCACTGTCCCCATCATACCATACAAGAATAATAGAGATATGATTGATTGCAGACGTGGGCATAAATTCATAAATCAAAAAAAATAATATAAAAAGTCAATAATGCGGTCAAACCAGCCAGATCAAAAGAAGGATCCACCTTGAAACTAAAAAAATTAAAATTAAAATTAAAAAAAAAGGACAACCAGACAGATATGCAGATACTGTAATGCCTCTCCGCCACATCTCCCAGCAGAGGGCAGAGCATGAAGAAAAGAGAAGAAAAAGGAAAACCCTCTCTTGTCCATCACTGCTTCCAATGGCATGCTTAATATCCATTTCAAAAATAATTATTAAACAAAATTCCTAATGTCAGACATCCAAATCTATCAAGATTTGAATTATTAAATGTGAATTATGTTTCAAACCGTAGGATTATCTAGAATGGTGATCAGATTTGCTATACTTTTGAGAGAAAATAGCGTAATATAGAGGTCAGTATACATAATTAAAATAAAACTAAATCATCTCGGGGAAAGCAAAAGCATTCATCACCTGTGGTACCCGGTTTGGGGAGACAAAACTTGTTGCTTCAATCACAGACAACCCAGAAGAAGCCAATTTTGTTATCAATTCGATTTTCACAGTCGCAGGAACGATGATCTTCTCGCTTTGCAGTACATCTCTGGGCGCAATTTCCACGATCTTTACAGATTTTGGCAAATCTTTTAAGAACTGTGAGGATCATGTCGGGCCTCATCTTACCTCAATGAAACTGTGAAATACTTAAAAAGATATCGAAAAACTGAAAAAAAACAATACTGACGTTCAATATGTAACAAGAAAACATATTTTCCTAACAAGAATACATTCTGGACAAATGTGGTACGGAAGAGAATTTCCGACAGTTTGTCATTCTGTGACAAGAAAGGAAACACGGGATTGAAGGTAAGAAAAATTTATACAGAAAAAAATTCACAAAGAACAAGGGAAATGCCTCACAATCGCATGTACCTTGTTTGAAAAGCTGCTCCTATCTCTGTCATGAAAAGATTGCACACCATAAATGTTATTTAAGGGCATTTGGTTCCTCCCATTGTTGGACAAACCCCTTGAATCTCCTCTAAAGCCAACCCTTGTTTGCTTTCCCAAAGTATATTCTTCACTAAAGTTGAATGCAAAGAATCAGCGAAATTTCTTAACTGTTATCATATTAAAGATAAAATGAGGTCAAAGCTTGTCACATCGGTGCCTAGAAATTATAACAGAAATCTGGGAACTGTAAACTGATAACATCCTAATTCAGCTTATTAATATGATTTATAATCATAGTTTATTTGTTTAATTAACTATAATTAGCATGTTATTGAATCTAGTTCCATAGATTTTGAATTTAGCATGGGTTCTTTAATTAAAGTAATTTGAAGAACATTTTCGTGTATTCATGACATGAGTAGATTGGTTTCTCAAGTGAGAGTTGACTTTCCTATTTCCTAAGTATTTTTATTTCATTTATTATGGACTAATTGATTGATCTTATTTTCAAGAAATTAGAGAAGGGGCCAATGGGCCTATTGGGCAGCCCATAAAGGAAGCTAAGGGCCCATTAAATAAGGGGAGGCGCCCCTATTCAATGCAGCCACCCCTATTTAGATAGCGCGGCTCACTCTTTCTCTCTCTCTTCCTCTTCCACCTAAGAGGACACATGGCAGTCTATGAGAGGCCACAGCTCTCCCACATGGGTTGCCACCATGGCCAGCCATCCAAGGAAGATGGACAGCCAGCCAGCCAAGGAAGGCAGACGCCCAGCCATCCAAGGAAGGGGGACGCCCAGCCATCCAAAGAAGATGTGCAATAGAACACCTAGCCTACCCGAAATTGTATCTTTACATTTTCTATGTCACATGATGCATGTGGTATGCAATTCTCCATGTAAAATTTATTTTATTTTGCACATGAGATTCATCTAAAGCATTGCTCACTAAGGTGATAGCTTCTTTTTGAAAACGTGGGGAATCATTTCGAAACAAAAGTTTCCATGGGAAAGCGAAAAGCTCCTCTTATCAATGAGCTATTCCCCACAACAACAATCATCTTGTAAGGACTTTATGCTCATATTTATAGAAGCAACAGACTGATTGTCACATCACTTTCAAGATTTTGACTAGAACAAGAGACCACGGTATCCGTTGCTGAGTGAAGAGCACCTCATTCATCACCAATTCGCCAACCCTTTGCCTTTCAATTAGTAAAATCCAAGAATAGAGTCTTATTGAGAAACCATTCAGAGTTCCATCAGCTTCCATCCACAAAATACCCGCATCCACTATTTCAATCAAGTAAAATGAATTCGGTGTCGTATTTATTGCAATAACAAGAGACATAAACATGAAGTATACAATTGTGATGTCAAAAAAGTCTGCACAATGCGTCACCTAACATATGGATAATATATCAGGGGAAAAATGAACTTTACTTGCAAATTTCTGAAGAACTGCATTCCCTCCGTTCAGTTATGCAGTTCCCCGGTTCCATCTCATCTACCCTGGGCTTGTCATCACTAGAAGAGAACCTATTCACCCCACCACCACCATTCAGCTTTGGCAGGCTCTCAATGAAAAGAGGTTCCTCTAAACTCGACATTGCGGAGCTGGATAAGAAAAGGGAAACTGGAGTAAATGCAGTTGACAATCTACCAGTCCACACCACATGATTCAACAATGTCTAGATATTGAAAGAGGAAGAACCAAGAGTTCAAGCATAGGATCCATACGCAAATTAAAATGCTGATGAAGTTTCCACAGGGCCACGGCAAGTGAAATTATAAGAATATCACGATTTGTATAGCACAACTAAAAAATTGAAGAAAATAGAAACTGTCTCCGTGGAATTTTGTTCGAAGATAAATAAAACTCGCAAATGAGAAGCCAAGGGAGAATACATCCATCACATGTCGAGTAAGCTATACAGCAATTAAAAAAATTCGAAACGCGGAAAGCTTAACGTTCTAAAGGAAGATAAGAAGAAGAAGAAGAAGAAGAAGAGATCGACGGCAATTTCAGAGAAGCCAACACCGATAGATCCAACGGGATTTTGAAAAACAGAACTGACCAAGAGAAACCAAGAGATTCCTGAAACGGGAGGCACAGATTCAGAGTAGCTCGGTTAAACCGAACACTAGATTCCCCCCACCCCGAGGTCGTCTGAAGAAGGGACTTATCACATCCGTCCACGGAGGCGCAGCGAGAGAGAGAGAGAGAGAGAGAGAGAGAGAGAGAGAGAGAGAGAGGGAGTGATCAACAGAGAAAGAGAGAGACAGTGAAAGAGAGCGTGTATACGAAGGCAACAACGGGAAGGTAACGGGGGTCGGGGGAGGGAGAGAAGACCTGATTTCAGTCCGTATCAAACTGCACACAGCAGCTACACAGTAGACAGACGTTAGGAAATGTTGCGCTATTGACGTGTCATTCTGTCACCGTTATTTAACCTACAATCGCACACTACGGTATTAATCGATACGTACTAATTTAATACCCCCGGCCCAATCCATATCTATTTTCCCTTCCTAACCAATCAGATGAAGCCACGAATTCACAAGAGGGGCCGTGGCAGCATCTGGGACGTTAACGTCGCAATGAAGACCGTTGACGATGTGGTCGTCCGATTCATTTGACGCAGCATCTGGTCAATCTAGCCACCCGAACTTTGACATTATTCGACCACAAACTACACTAATATGGTCTTTTTTTCATCTAGTGGACCCATAAGTCTAGCCCTCAATCCAGTCAAGTTTATGGATTTTTTTATGATATAAGTTTTTAAAAAATAATATTAAAATATTTAAAATAAGGATATAATTATATATAATAAAATAAAATAAATTTGTATTTTTCAACAGAAAATCAGTTATTTACATAAAATCAACATAAAGCCAAACTCTAGTTTTAATATTTGATGCAAGTCATCCTCTCGTTATATGCTGCGTCTTATTTACGCCTCTAATTATTTTTCTCGTAAACTTGAAATTTTATTAATTTATTTTTAAATGCCTAATCAAGGCCTTTCACACATATGAAGCAAGGCTTTCTAAGCTATGGAAGATCACTAAAGACGGAAGCCAATGATATATTTTACGCTGAAAATAATTACATTAATTTAATAATTATTAATTTATCTACTAAGACATTAAACAACGTAAAAATTATTTAATATAAACTAATTAATATTTAAAAAGTTATTAATTTCAACCGTACCCAACCTTTTCATTTATGGAAATATCTACCTGATTTTCGTAGATATTCAAGCCGCCGCGTGGCGGAGATTTCCGCGTCTTCGGCAGAAGATGGCGGCGGTCACGATTGTGACACGGTGTCAGAAATGTCGGCGCCGTCAGCCGATGTCGGCCGACATCAGGCAGCACATCTCAGTTGCCAGCCTCGTCTTGTGCGCCATCTATTTCCACTTTTAGTCAGGTAAGTTAATAAATTATCATAAAAGCTTTATGCTTGCTATACTCGACTATCTATTTCCTTCTGACTAGTCAAACGGAAGCCATGTGGTCAGCACTTTTTCTATATCGCGTAAATATATTTAATATCTTGGAAAAGAGACTATACCTCGGTCGAGGTGGGGAAATTGGAAACAATAGGAGTAGATAAAATTGATTAAATTATTTTTAATTGGGGAAGTTTATTGCACTTAAATCCCCATAACTTTGATTATGTTTATATCGACCTGGGGGAAAAGTTGACTTAAATAAATGGTCATCACCATCTTCTTCGCGGAGCCTTAATAAAGAACTCAAATTATTTAAAATTCTCATTAATTTTTTTTACAATGATGATAAATGAGCTCATAAAGAAGCCTACGACTCATTTTTATCACCACCTAACTATCTATATAAATACGTATTTATTTATTTATGCAATTAGATCGTGTATAATCTTTTGCCATGTATAACTTTTATGTCATTGTCCAAACTTTACATTATTATGCATGTGAACATGGTTTAGGGGTATGTCTTGAAAAAAGATTATTTATCATGCACCCAAGGATATTAAAATACCAAATAAATAAATAATAAAATTTTAATTTCTCTCATTATTTTAACATTATTGACAAATATAACGAGGGCATTCTATCCTGATTATATGAACATGAATATATTTGAACTTTTCTAGGCCATTGCCTACTAATAATGGGGGGTTAAATAAATAAATAAATAAAGAGGTAGCAAGGATCAAGCGTTAACCAAGAGTGCCCTCCATGCACCCTCAATAGACAGCCTACTCCAAGACCCGTGAAAGCAAGGTCCACCCTTGTCCCAGCCAACAAGATATTCGAGTAAAGTACCCACTGTAAAGGCTGGCAGGGTCTTATGAGCATTGTGACAGTTGGTATGAAAATAGGAGGAGGCTTGGGGCGCTGACTTTGGATGACGCAAGCGCAAAGATGAAATTATTTTGTTCTTGTTTAAGAAAATAAAATTTGTTTTATTGGGCCCTTTTTGAAGCCCATATTATCGAAGAGCATAGTTTAGTTTAAATCTAGGAAAAAAATATATATCTAAGCCCAGAAAAACTGGCCTGATGACTGCGAGCTTACTAGGGACTCGGAGAAAATGGGTTACAGGTGTTCATACACCGGAGTCGGGGGCACCTGTCACTCATCATGGCGATGGTCCTGGATTCCCGTTGACTTTGCCCATCTACTGCGGCATTCCTACGTGTAGCCATCTCACTCCAGAAGCCACTCACTTCCCCGTTGACTACAACGCGGCAAGTGCTCAAAGACAGAACGTGTCCACACACCGGAATGAGAGAGAGGAGTGAGGAGAGAGAGAGGAGAGAGAGAGAGAGAGAGAGAGGTGGGTGCAATCAGCGTGACGTAGGATTGCAGAAGGAATGTCGAGGACAGCTCTTGAATCATAGCCGCGGCCGACAAGGGGTGATCCGGCCCACCGACCGCCCACCACATATATCTATCACCCATCGTCCCCCTCTTCCTTTCTCTCTCAAGAAGACGCAGCAGAGCTGGAGGATGAGGGGAGAGGAGCTCTTCCCCATGGACCAGCAGATCCTTCCGGGAAGTTTCGACGTGTTCCGAGGCCTGCCGGAGAGTCTGCAGCCGGAGTTTGGACTGTTCGGAAGCGTGGAACCTTTGAGTTACAGCTCCAATCATGGTGCGGAGGCCATGGCCTGGGGGATCCCGGGTTTATTCTCCCCCTTCCACCCACCGGAGATGGTGGGAGCGGCGGCGGAGGAGCCCTTGAACAGGGCTACGACGGCCGCCAGAAACCACAGGGAAGCCGAGAAGCGGCGGAGGGAGCGCATCAACTCTCATCTCGACCGCCTACGCGCCATCCTTGCCTGTGACTCCAAGGTGCTCACTACTGAAAACCCTCTCTCTCTCTCTCTCTCTCTCTCTCTCTCTCTCTCTCTCTCTCTCTCTAACCAGTTATTTCCAGTGATGACTCTCAGAGGAGGGTAGTCCTTTTCTCCCAAGCGGACATTCAGACATAATGCTCTCTTCCCAGCTTTAACTGCGTAGAGTGAGCGTGAGAATGTGAGATAAGACGATTGTCCTTCAAGGTAGAAATAGCTAACGGAGAGTTATAGAGAGGATATGAAAGAAAGAGGACTCGACGGACTTTCTTGGGTTCACGGTTGAAATCCGGGTTTAGGGCTTCGATCATCATTTCACAGGTTTCCATCCTTCTTAGGGTTTTTTCTCGGGTTTTTGCAATCTTTATCACCCGAAACTAGCTCACAATGGCCTCCATTTCACGGAAAAGTCGTTGACCTTTTTCCTCTGAATTAGGGTTTCTTCCTTCTGTCCTCCCCTCCTTTTTCCTGTCCTGAATCTTCTTCCCCAGATCGACAAAGCCTCTCTTCTGGCCAAGGCAGTGCAGCACGTAAGGGACTTGAAGCAACGTGCCTCGGAGATCGACAATGTGGAACACTTCCCCTCCGAAACGGATGAAATCTCCGTTCATCCTGATGGCCGGAGGCCCACATTCACGGCCTCCCTCTGCTGCGAAGACCGCGCCGGACTTCTACCGGAGCTTGGAGAAGCGGTGAAGTCCCTGCGGCTGAGGATTTTGAGGGCGGAAATCGCCACCCTCGGAGGGAGAGTCCGCAATGTTCTCGTCGTAGGAGGGGAAGAAGAAGATGGGTTGGAAGAAAATGGTGGCGGCGGCGGCGGAATGGCGGCCGCCTTCTTGAAGGACGCGCTTAGGGCTCTGGTGGACCGGACGGAGGCGGCGGAATGCCAGAAGCGACGGCGCGTGGCGGACGACGGCGGAGCTGGTCTATGAGATCATGGTTCTTTTTTATCTTCCGTGTGTGGGGTTGAGAGGTGTTCTTGGCTGTGTATAGGTCTTGAAGAGTAGATGAGTGAGAAAGAGAGCGAGCGAGAGAGAGAGAGAGAGAGAGAGAGAGAGAGAGAGAGAGAGAGAGAGAGAGGTTCCTTCTGCACACCCGTTCCCCAGTCACCGGTTCCTTCTACCAACATGTAGGTTTGGTTTAACATGCCTTTGATAGAGTGAAGTCGTCTCTCTCTCTCTCTCTCTTCTGGCCATCCCAAAAGATACTGTTCTTCCAGCTACCAGCGTCTATCGCTCTTACTTTCCTCTGCTGGCAGTCAATCCACCATCCCACTCAAATTTTCGTTTTCTGTTCACAAAAACTCATCTCTGTCAGACTGAAATCACGCCAGGGCTCCTCTCCTCATCGAACACAAGCATAGAATGAAGCGTGGTCTGTCTGTCTTCTCTCTCTCTCTCTCTCTCTCTACCTCTCTGCGCATCCAACACAAGGTACGGGGTGGTGTTGGGAGATGTCCGAGGAGAAAGGTGGCGGTGTCGAAGTCTAGGAGAAGAAAAAGGGGGCTGTTCGCCGAGTGCGGCCCTCACGCGTGCCGGAACCTGACGAGCCAGCAATCATTTTGCTGCTCCCTCATCGGGCAAGACAGAAGGAAGAGGTTGGGATGGCAGAGGTCGCCACGTGCGTTCTCAGAGACAGAGAGAGTGCCCCCCCGCTCCGCTCTTCCTTTGCTAGGAAACACGCGCACCCAAAGCACAATAATGGCTGGTTTCATTCTTGTCCACTCTCTCTCCCTCCATTTCTGTGTGAATCGTGAAGGCGAGTACCATCCTTCGTCATCAGTCCGTGGGTTATTTTCGGCCCTGCCCGCTTAGGGTTTGCTTGCTGAAGGGAAGCGGCACGCATGCATGAGCATGCCAATGAAACTTCTACATGTCCTCGGTGCATTTGGTCCCAACAAAACAGTCTCTCTCGCTTTCTCTCCCTCTCTCCCCCCCTATCTCTCTCTCCCTTTCCCTCCTCTTTCTCTCCCTCCTCTCTCTCCCTTTCTCTCCCCCTCTCCTTATCTCTCCCCTCCCTCTCTCTCCCCCTCTCCCTATCTCTCCCCCTCTTCTTATCTCTCCCCTCCCTCTCTCTCCCCCTCTCCCTCTCTCTTCCCCTCTCCTTATCTCTCCCCTCCCTCTCTCCCTCTCCTTCTCTCTCCTTCCTCCTCTCTCTCCCCCTCTCTCACCCTTGTGAAGAAGGAGAGATTGAGATAAGAGATTGAGAGAAGAGATTGGGGCAAATCTAAATAATCAAGAACAGGAGATGAGAGGAGAATGAAGATGTAGAGATAAGGCTAAAGGAAGAATCTATTAGAAAAGCTCTATTCTTGTACATTGTTGTGTGTTGTGTATTTATAGTGATGTGTGAGAGTGCTATTGTGAGGTTGTTATATTTAATTATTTCTAAATTAAGATTTTTGTTATTATCTCTTGTTTAATTCTTTTGATGATTCCTCAATACGTCCCCTCAAGCTCTATTTGAACAAACATTGAGCTTGTTCCAGAGCCAAAGGAAGCACTGCTTTGGAAGGCTCTTTGTTAAAAGGTCACCGAGCTGATCTTTGTTAGAGATGAAGGCCACTTGGAGCTGTTTTGAGGCAACTTGTTCTTGAAGAAAATGGTAGTCAATCTCCATGTGCTTTGTTCTTTCATGGAAGATTGGGTTTGCAACAACGTAACTCCTATGTTGTGCTTTGTCCATAACTTATGAGCTTTTTTAAGTGGTAGCCTAATCTCCTGTAAAAGAGATTTTAATTAAATTATTTGTAAAGTAGCATTAACTAAGGTCTTATATTCTACTTATGTGCTTGAGGAAGCCACAATGTCCTACTTTTTGGAACTCCATGAGATTAAATTTGCTTCTAAAAATATAAGAAAACCACTAATTGATCTCTTGTCATTAGGCGAGCTTGTCCAATCTACATCATCAAAGATGTTTAGTTGAAAATTAAAATTATGCTGAAATAAAAGACCATGAAATATAATCCCTTTGAGGTACTGAAGAAGGCATTTGACTAGACACCAGTGTTCTTCCTTCAGATCATGCATGTATTGACATGCTTTATTGACTACAAATACAATGTCAGGCCATGAAATGATAACATATTGTAATCCTCTAATAATACTTCTATAAAGAGTAGGATCAATATAGATTTGAGAATGCTGGCTACTCTATAAAGGCATTGGCCTTTGAGCTCCTCTAACAAATCATAATGTACGCATGCTGGCTACTCTACTTTAGTAGTGCGTTAACTAGTAGTTCACTATTGATTAAGGATTTGGTACTAGTACCTATTTTACTAACTATAAGCCTTTGGAAAATAGTTATAGAATGGATAGAATTATTTTGAGGAGGATTTGAAAGTGAGAGAGAAATAGAGGCAACTAAAGGCTCAATAGAGCTTGAAGAATTATAAACAAAATAATAGATTTGTGGGTATATTTTGGTTAAGTAAGGAAGCTTAACGTGAAGGATTTGAAGTGATCGATGTTGTCATCATAGGAAGAGATGTCAGAATTTCATCTTCATGTGTTACTAGTAATGTATGAATTTTAGTTGTAGAATCTTTGAAAGGAAAGTATAATTCATAAAAAATGACATGTTTAAATATGTAAATATGGCTAAAACCAAGGGATAAACATCTATACCTACAGTGGAGAGAGTTGTGACCCAAAAAATATATCATTAAGACCTCTAAGTCAATCTATGTGCTGCATATCGTCGAAGATTTGGATAGCACAAACAACAAAATACTTTTAAGTGTAAATAATATAGTGATTTATTAAATAAAATTTCAAAAAGGCACTTGCATTTAAGAATGATTGTTGTAAGTCAATTAATAAGATAAGTTGTAGTCGTAACAACCCTATCCTAAAATTTTTGAGGCATGGATACACTAGATAACAAGGTAAGTGTAGTTTCTATTACATGTCTATTTTCTTTTTGTAGTTCCATACTACTTAGAGGTGTGTGGACAAAAAACCATGTGTTAGATGTCTCAAGTTTTAAAATGTCTATATAAAGATTGATACTTTACTCTCCAATCAGATTGAATTGCAAGAATTTTAAGAGAGAATTATTTTTCTACCATATTCTGAAATTGAATAAAAATGTCAATAACTTCAAATTTCGTTTTAAGAGGATAGAACCAATTATATTTAGAAAAGTTGTCAATAAATACGACATAATATGAAAAACTATTATATGAAAAAATTGAAGAAGGTCTTGAAAGATTAGAGTATATTAATTGAAGAGGCTTTGTAAATTGATTTGGAGATATTTTAAAGAAAAAAATTATACAATTTAGAAAGGCAACATGAATCACAAATTATTGGTTTTGGAAGATGAATAGTTGGCAACCTGAATTTGTTTATGATTTTATAAAATATTTTATAATAAGGATGCCCTAATCTATGGTGTTATATTAGTGGTGAGACTCATTCCCCACTTGTTGATGACACCATTGCATAATGTGATTTAGGTATTGAAAGTGTTGGAAAGTAGTAGAGGTTATTTCTAATTTGTCTTTTAAGTAGAGATTTCTCTAAGGCTCGATCCTTTACAAGATAATAATTAAGATGAAATGCTACATAAATATCATTATGTGTGGTTAATTATATAATACATAAAATATTTTAGTGTAAAGTGTTGGATCTAAGAGCATGTTAGAATCCAGGGTGTCATGATGTGTCACCTCACTATTTAGGTATCATGATGAAGATGCTCCAATATAATTTTTGAGATGTAACGATTGATAGTAGAATGGTTGAGGAGCCGTCTAATAATATCCTTGCTGAGGTGGGACAGTTTGATAGTAATGACCATATTGTGGTGGTGTGGGAGAAAAAAAAGAACCAATTGAAGTAGGAGCTTGTGGATATGTGATTAAATATACACATGGAGTTTCTTATCTTGGTGGATATGGTATTTAGAAATTTTTATTAAATCTCTATTGATAGTCATTGACCCTATGTCTACATTGTCAACATAATTGAAATCTAAGAGGTTGATTTTGTCAATTCTATTGATTTATGCTTCTGCCAAAACTAAAATTATGATTTTGTCCTCTTTGATTTTGGGGTCTCCCTTTGTAGGATTGATTGTTTGCATGTGGAATGCTTGACTGAATATTGAAAATTCAAGGTGGATTTGAAATTTTATATCCAACCATATACCAACCCAAAAGAGATTCATGGGTAGTAACACTTTTCATAAGATCATTGAAAGTCCACAAAGTTCAGGCTCAAAGAAAGGGGTTTCTGTGTTTTCTTTTTATGACATTCAATATTCAAAAAATTATAGCAGATAAACATTTATAGTTAATTATATATTCGCATCTCACTAAGTTCACAAGCACCAATCTCAAGCCCTGCAGAAAAAATGAACATAGGTACATAGACTGAGAGAGAGAGAGAGAGAGAGAGAGAGAGAGAGAGAGAGAGAGAGAGAGAGAGAGGTGGATAAAAAATATAATAGGTAAAATAGAAGAAAAATGGGTAACCACATCCTTTGGGCATTTTTATATAAATATAAAATGCGGACCATGTTTTTATGGAGATTTTTATAATAACGAGGACGGGAGGCCTTTTTTTCTAATTTTATTTTCTGGAAAATCGTAAAGTTTTAAATGCATAAATTTGAGTATATATGAATTAATTATTGAAAAAAAATGCCCCCAACCCTCATCTCGTCTGTGGGTGCTTGGTGGGCCCATTAATGGATCACTCACTTTCGGATTCGGATCGTACCGATAGGGAAGTAGAAGTTTCCAATGGCCCTGTGGTTAACACGTGTCGCCATCATCGTGTCTCCCTCCCCCTGGCTGGTCTCTCTTAAGTAGAATGCTCCTGCGTGTACATCGGACACAGGCACCCGGACAAGCAACTCCAACAAAGAAGGCAGAAAAAATAAAAATAAAAATAATCATAATATCCCCCGATTATATATTTATCTGCGTCAACGGTCCTGGTCAAACTTAGCCATGGTCCATACATAAAGTGGGGCTTGGAGACAGATAGAGAGATAGATAGATAGAGAGAGAGAGAGAGAGAGAGAGAGAGAGAGAGAGAGAGAGAGAGAGAGAGATTTTGGGCCGGAATCCGAATTCATGGCCCATTAATAGCGAGGGCATTTCTGTTTTTTTAATTCCAGCCTTGTAGCGAAGGAACTCGCCTATCTCCCGCCGCTTCACCGCCACGTGTCGGACAATGTGTCTTCCGACGAAGTCAATGCTCTAAAAAGTCAACGTGCATAGTTGTTTGACGCCGCAAAAGTCGTTGACCCAACATCACCCGTTGACTTGATGCGCAACGTGGTGACGTACGCGGAAGCTCACCCCGCCCCTCCTCGCATAAAAAAAGAAATCCATAAATACGATAAATCTTCGAGTATTATATAAATCAATTATAAGTTTAATATAAATTAATTTATTCAAAATATGGGCTCACTGGTTGTCGCTAAAATCGAATAATAATGCCATTTACTGATATATAATTGTATACATTTTTGGAAGATATAAATGATCCGATTTTATCTTTGTAGAAGACCATTAGCCGGGTCTGGCCACGGGGTCATAGGTTATCCGGTCGGGTCGCGGTCACTCAATCATTGTCGGATCTTAGTTTAAGGAGTTCCTTCGTATTAGCACGTGGGAAGGACCACGTCGGTGCGTGTGAACTCGCCGACGCGGGGGGATTGGCTACGACCGCTGGCCAAAGAATTAGTCAGCATAATAATATAAAATTAGAGTTTCAAATATAAAATAATCCACTTAAAACACTTTATAAATGAGAAAATTATTTAAATATGGAAAATATTAGAAAATAAATGTAAACTAGAAAATTATGTCTGGGTCGAATATTTTTGTTTGTGACGTGAAGGATGACGTGGACAGCTTTCCTACACCTCTTTGACCCTTTCCGATAATAATAATAGAGGCATCTTAAGTGACGGGCCCAGACCGGGCCGAGTGAGAAGCCCTCCCCTGTAAGTAGCAGTTCCATCTCCGATGTAGGAAAGCACTACGGTGGGCCTTGGCGACCCGGTCTTCCTCAAATTTCGCGCCAGAGGCCCACAGCATAAATATAAATCTCAATTAGTTCAACTAATCCTGATTTATTAACATAATTATTCCATAATTAGTTTTTTAAAAAAAGGCACGTCAGCATCTTGGCCTACGGTCGTAGGCTTGGCGGGCTTCATGACCCCAAAAGTACGGCGGCCGCATGGGGAAGAGGCATTATTATTATTATTTTATTTAAAAAATCACGAGAACCAAGGCGACATTTTTCCGGATATTATATTATTAAATCCACCTTTGACGGGCACAAATTATTTCTGGGCCATCAAATGCCAACGAAATTGGGTTTTTTTTCTAATTTTTTAAATGGGGTGATCGTCGGAATCCGTCACACATAAGAATAATAAAAGAGCGCAATTTATTGGTGGAAAATGGAGACGAAGAAGGGAGAAAGTCAACGATCCGAGGAGCAGCGCGGAGAAAATTTCCTCCCGGCATTAATTTCAGATCGACAGCCTGTGGTTGTAGGTGATCAGACCCCGAATCTCCATTATCGTGACGGCTTCTCTACTTTCTCTCTCTTCTTTTGGGTCTGTCTGTGTCTCTGTGGATCGTCCACCATCTCATAACGGAGTAAACGGACGAAAGCTGGGTGCCATCAACGGAGGAAGAAAGCCAAAAGGTTGCAGAGGGGGGAGAGGGGGGGCGGGACTTCCCTTTATGTTCTTTCTGCTCTCTCTCTCTCTCTATCTATCTATCTACCTTTCTCTCTCTTCGGCGGCGGGAATTTGTCTCCTTGCCATTTGGGCATCCTTTGATCTGGGGGGCGTAGCTTGAAATTCCTCCTTCCTGCTCGGGATTGTTCTCAGGATTCTGGATTGAGTGGGGGGGGGGGGTGTGTTTCGCGTCTTCCGGAGATTTATGAGCCCGGAATGGTGTAGATGTACTGGCGGTGAGGCGTCTGGGTCGTTCTTCTGATGTGATCTGCTCTGGATGTTTCCTCTCGATCCATTGCATCTGGCATTTCCCGAAACAGCGGAATTGGAGGAGACCTCTGAGCCTTTTTCTGGGATTGTTTATTCTTCTCGTGCTTGGCTTCTCCCTCAGCTTCATCCCGCTGCTTGATCTGGGGCAATTTCCGGGAGACGGAGGAGCTTTGATCTGAATCCGTTCGGTTTCCGATTTTTTTTTTTTTCTTATCGTTGTTGTTCTCGATTGGGAGGGCTCATATTTTGGTGGATATTTGTCCCTGGTTTTCTTCGGTTAATCTCCTTCCTCTTCCTCTTCCTCTCGGGGTCTGGTTTCCATGGGACTCTGCCATGGGAAACCAGTCGAGAGCCCCCTTCCCAGAGAAGAACTAGAAGATCCCGTGGTCTCCAGCAATGGGATACCCCCTCCAAATCCGGGAACCCCAAAACCCCCAAAATCGCCATTCTACCGTCCGAGCCCACTGCGGAGCTCTCACAGGAACTCTCCGGGGTACTCCAGCGTCACTTCGACGCCATTGCGGAAGATCTTCAAGGGCCCCTTCCCCCCTCCTTCTCCTGCCAAGCACATCAAGGCTTTTCTCGCGCGCCGTCACGGATCAGTGAAGCCGAACGCGGCCGCCATCCCCGAGGGATCGGAGGCCGATCCGGTGGGCCTGGACAAGAACTTCGGCTTCTCCAAGCAGTTCCTATCAAGGTATGAGCTCGGAGAGGAGGTGGGGCGGGGGCATTTCGGATACACCTGCTGCGCCAAGGCAATCAAGGGAGAATTGAAGGGGCACGAGGTTGCCGTCAAAGTAATCCTCAAATCGAAGGTTAGATTCCCATGTCTCTCTCCCCCCTCATCCGTATTGCTAGAAATGGTTCTGCCATTGTTGCAGAGGTTATCAGTTCTTCTTTCAGAAGATTTATCTGGCAAAATCTTCCTTGTTCAATCCTTGGGCAACAGTTTTCTACACAGAATTTGACTGCGGTGGTGGTTCTCACGGATCATGACACAGTAATTCGTCTGTTTTTTTCTATAAAAAATCTTCTCTTCTCTTCAGCTTCTTTTCAAATTACATAAGAGGTGAGTGGATTATAAAAGAAGATGAACCATGCTCTGCTTTGATGAAATCTTGAAATCTGGAGACCTCGGATTCTTGGTGGAAGAGAACTGACGACTCCCTGCTCCTTTCGGCAGATGACCACCGCGGTTGCCATTGAGGATGTGAGGAGAGAAGTCCGTATATTGAGGGCCCTTGCTGGGCACAAGAATCTAGTGCAATTTTATGAAGCCTATGAAGATGACAACGGCGTGTATATCGTTATGGAGTAAGTGAATAAATATTGTATCATAGTTTTATTATTATTATTGAATTCTCATAATGGCGGCAACAGTTTTTCTTTCATCTGGGCATTGGAAACATGCACACAGAACCCAGAAAATCTTGCTTTTTTTTTTTTTGCTTCTTTCTTCCATGATCTCGAAAATATCAAAACTCCTTTGACCAGGTGGCAGAAGAACACGTAAAAAGATTGAATTTGTCCCGTTTAGTAAGAATTGCATTATTTTTTGCAACGACTGTGAGGGAACCAGGTGAACGAACGGGCTTATCACTGGAGCATTGTGATGCGATTATCACATTGTCGTTGGTCCGTTGCAGCTATATCTAATTATTTTCCCCCTTTTTTAGAAAAATTAAAAACTGGGTAAAACCTTGCATAAATTTTCAGCTAGTATGCCCGGGTGGGTCCCCATTGATTTCCTTTTATCTTCTTTGAAACAATCCAGCAGAACTGTTCATTATAATCTGTAATACGGGGAGACATGATTCATCAAATCTCAATCTGATGTTCTTCTGTTCGCCTGTCACTTTCTCATGAACTCGTGACCATTTTCTTCCTCTTGACTTGCCAACTAACTCACGAGCAACATCTCTACTTTTCAGGTTATGCAAAGGTGGTGAACTTCTTGACAGGATTCTCGCTAGGTACCTCTTTTCGCTAGCTTTATATATATTTATATATATATATATATATATATATATATACAGAAAAATCATGAGTTAACCAACATAGTTTTCTCTTCCCATTTATCTTTGTTTTCAGGGGAGGAAAATATTCAGAGGAAGATGCTAAGGGTGTCATGGTCCAGATCCTGAACGTTGTGTCCTTCTGTCATCTGCAGGGAGTTGTACACCGAGACCTTAAGCCCGAGGTAGATGAATTGACCATTCGAGCAATCATATCTCCTTCAATGTCCTCTGATATCAGTTCATCTTTTCTGTAGAATTTTCTCTTTACCTCAAAGGATGAGAAGGCCCCATTGAAGGTGATTGACTTCGGTCTGTCAGATTTTGTGAAGCCTGGTTAGTGATAAAGTCCATGAGACCACTCATACTTGTGTAGCTATTCTTGGCTTCGAGATCATTTCTCCGTTCTTGTTCTTGATTTGCGTTCATGGGGTTTCCTCATTTGAGGTTGCAGATGAGAGGCTGAACGACATCGTCGGAAGCGCCTACTACGTTGCCCCTGAAGTCCTCCGGAGATCTTACGGGACCGAAGCTGACATGTGGAGCATCGGCGTGATCGCGTACATCCTGCTCTGCGGGAGCCGCCCCTTCTGGGCGAGGACAGAGTCCGGCATATTCCGCACCGTCCTCAAGGCTGATCCAAACTTTGAGGAGCCGCCATGGCCTACATTGTCCTCGGAGGCCAAGGATTTCGTCAAGAGGCTGCTGAACAAGGACTATCGCAAGAGGATGACTGCCGCCCAGGCCCTGTGTATGTACCTTTGCAGCGTGATTCAGCTGTACTATGGGTCGTCCCTGTTTCTCTCGAATGTCATGCATTTTGACTCTTCTGTGTGTAGGCCATCCGTGGATTAGAGATCATGAGGATGCCACCATTCCCATGGATATGCTGATTTGCAGACTTATGAGAGCGTATATCTGTTCGTCGTCGCTACGAAAGTCAGCACTGGTGGTATGGCGCCCCTTTCCACTCCAGGGTTTTGAGTATGCTGTGGATGCATCACGAGGAGCGTTGACTTTTACGATTCGTAAAATTTCCAGTTTTAGTGAATTTCCCATTGTTCCTCACGATTTCTGATGAAATCGTAGGAACCCAGAGCCAGTGGATGGCCGATTCGAGTTGACTTCATGGTGGCCGAGGAACCCAATCCGATACACACTTCTCATAACACTGAACATCCCTTTAATGGGGAAGATGACCCAGATGAAAATGACTTAGTTTCTCTTAGATTGTCTAAACTTACGTAACTTGGTCGCATTAAATTATCTGTGTGCAAATTTAAATTTTTGTGCTCCTTTTTCGGAATGTTACTGGGCCACTAGCTTGATTCCTCATACTCTCTCTCTCTCTCTCTCTCTCCCTCTCTCTCAGGCTCTTGCCAAATCGTTGACCGTGAACCAGCTCTTCTACTTGCGAGAGCAGTTCACATTGCTGGGACCGAACAAGAACGGATACATCGCCTTACAAAACTTGAAGACGGTAGGTGGTTTCCTAGCTTGACTAGATTGACCCTCGTGGCCCCCAGCTTCTAATGGGTCTGGCTTCCACAGGTCCTGTTGAAGCACTCAACTGACGCAGTAAAGGATTCCAGAGTTCTTGATTTTGTCAACGCGGTGGGTGACTTCTCGTTTTTTTTTGTACTTCATTTTCTGTTGACCTCGTGGTGTATTTATTTTGACTTGGTGTTCTTCCCGGGGGATTGTCGTCAGGTCTGCTCTCTTCAGTATAGGAAGCTGGACTTCAAGGAGTTTGCGGCGGCTGCTGTCAGCGTTCACCAGCTGGAGGCCTCGGCCAACTGGGAGCAGCTTGCTCGCTCGGCATACGAATTATTCGACAAGGAGGGGAACAGACCCATCATGATCGAAGAACTTGCCTCGGTAATCTTCATTTTATCCCTTTAGAAAACAGCTTCAATGGTCCCTTCAGATCCTAATCTGGAGCGCACTCCATGAAATCTGCCGAACGATGTCTCAGTTTCTGAGATTCTTCGTCTCGAACCCATTTGAGTCCGCGTTTCTATCTGCTTTTTCTGTGACCCTCTCGGCAGAAACTGATCAGTCGTCAACCCAATCAATCCTGCCCAATTCTGAGCAGTTTGCTTGCTTCAGGAGATATTTTTTAGGGTTTCTGAACTGGTTGGACCTGTTCCGGATTAGGATTTTCTTTTTCCTCTTTTTTCTGACGAGCTTGCTTGATTCAGGAGCTGGGGCTCAGCCCGTCGGTCCCCATGCATGTGGTTCTCCAAGACTGGATCAGGCACTCCGACGGGAAGCTGAGCTTCGTCGGCTTCGTCAAGCTCCTACACGGGGCGTCATCCCGATCGATGCCCAAAGCATAAGCGACCCCGCCCACAAGATTGATTTTTTTTTTTTTCTTATCATTGATCGAAGGAGAGATGAACTGAACCCGTTGCTGGCTGGGGCATGAAACCCAAGACGAGAGAGAGAGAGAGAGGAGGGAAGATGGGGTCTTCTTTCATGTCCCCCAGGTGGTGTGTAGAGAGATGTTCAGAGGGGGTGTACAGATAGGAGTTAGTCCGGCGCAGCTGTCCAAGGAGGTGGAGACTGCCCGTGTCTGATGTCTTCTACGTTTCTTATTGAAATGTCTCAGCGCCCCAGTCATGTCCTACTACTTCCGTCTCAATAAGATGACTGCCCTTATTTGTTCATCACGGAAGAGAGAGAGAGAGAGAGAGAGAGAGAGAGAGAGAGAGAGAGAGAGAGAGAGAGAGAGAGAGAGGGAGAGAGAGAGAGAGAGGGAGAGAGAGGGGCCAAGATCAGAGGAGGGTCAGGAGCCGTCGTTATTCAATAAATGAATATCGAAACCTCAGAGAGAGTGCAGTTACATTCCTGCCCAGTCCCAACATTAGAGAGGAAAAAAATGTGCCTATATATATATATATAATTCGACCTTTCTCGAGACCAAAGTTCCGTTGCAAGATATTTCATCAATGGCTAAGCTATCTGCAGCCACATTTACCCTGCGGGGCCAACAAGGCAACGCAATAGAGAGAGAGAGAGAGAGAGAGAGAGAGAGAGAGAGATGGGTCTCAGTGGGAGTGAGCTTCAAGAAGAATATTTGTGGCGGCGTTGAGGTCGTTCCTCGCCTGCACAAGCGCCTGCCGGGCGGAGTTGGTGTCGAAGCCCATGGAAACCAGAGTGGCGACCGACTCCTCGGGTGGCTCGGGGACTGGAGCGCGAGGGGCAGAAGGGTAATTTATCTGGAGCCAGAATAGAAAATGAAAAATATTTTCCATCAGATATAAAGATGAATTACTAGGAAAAAAAAAAAGAAAAGGAACCAAATCTTCACAGTTCTTCCTTCAGTAAAAGGGGAGACGACAGCGAGATGTTGATGCCCAGAAAAGGAAAATAAAATCATATATTTTAATAAAAATCGGAGACGAACAGCTGAAGAGATCTGAGAGTTAGCTGCTTCCACTGATATGAAGAAATAGCAAGCATTGCGGATTGATGAGGGGAGAAGAAAGCAGAGAGACTTGCCTCTGCTCGTCTGCCTGAGTGAGGAGGGATGCTTCCCACTATGCTCCTGCTTGAAGATGGATGAGGAGAGCCGCCGGGAGAAGCCCAAGTCAACCGAGAGAAAAACGATGCCACGATTTCTGGGAACTGAAGACCAAGCGAAGACCCATTTCGCATGAGCAGAAGAACAGATGCGTTGACTCTGAACTAATCAGATTTCATAGCAGAGAATCAAATCATGAAGATACCAATGAACGAATGAATACAACGAGGCTTCGCTTCTATGACCAAAGAAAACCACGTTAATTCCGGAGTTATGTTCTTCAATCGAGAAAATAATCTGAAAACCATGCACTAAAGTGGCTCGTTTCCCCAATTATTCACAGCTTGGACCTTGGAACAATTAATTATTTTCTATTTAAAGAGAGGGATTTTTCCACCTCCAAAATTAAAGAAAAGAAAGTTTTCATTCTGCCTTCTCAGTCTTTCCCACTTGTTTATAAAGATGTTAAATCTCAAGAATATCTTATAATAAAGTTCACATATGATGGGAAGCATAAAAAAATCACCCAGATCATCGCACTCCCATTTTTTGAAAAAATATAAATCTAAACATTTAAAATGAAATACAAAATAAAATAAAATAAAATAAAAATAAACCCAAAAGGTGATATTCTCATCATCATCATCTAAAAATGATTCTTGAACCCGGGAGAAAGAAACCTACTGCTTATCAAACCAAAAATAGGAAAAAAAGGAGATCACAAGCCAATAAATAAATAAATAAATAAATCTATACAGGGGAGCAGAGGGAATAGGATTAAACAGAACCTTTATCCTCCGGATGCCAAACACATTGAAACGATACAAGGAGCCAGCAATGATTCCACATATACCAGGTAGAAGAGATCGTTTCCAGGAAGATAGAAGAAGCTGCAGGTGAGGAGGATTCCCTTTATTAGAAACAATTAGCAAATCAACGGAGAACTCTCTGATTGAAACCTCTTCTCTAGAATAAGTAACCTGAAGGCCGGCCAAGTATATGAATGACTTGTCAGTCAGCCGAACCCCAAATATCCGAAACCTTGAGGAAACGGGGATGTCAAAATAGAATGGCACAAAGGATGAAAATATCACACCGTACGGCCCAGATGCCAAGGCATAGAAGCTTGGATCTGCAAAGAAGCCACAGATGAAGTTCTGGGTCACATCCATACTGATAGTGTAGCGGCCCACCGTGGAAGATGACGCCACGAGAGAGCAGAAGGAAAGGAAGACACAACCAAGATAAGAGGCAGTATGATATCCTCTTTTTTTTTTTTTTGGTGCAAATCAGATAGCAGGAAATTTCAAAACATTAATTTACAAAGCACGGCGCCACTATGCATGATAAAATGTGGCTGGATAAACTGCGCTGAAAATGTATAATGTTCTGTATGAATATAAATGACAGCTTAATGTCGATGCAATGGCAAAAAATATTTCTATTTATTTATTTTTCGAAAGATGGATGGATCCCTATGATGTTCAGCATCATTCATCCGTGCAAATTCAAAACACAGATTTTTTATTTAATTTTGAAACATGAGTTCGTCCGATGGTCAGCTCAGCCACGATAACTCAAAACCAATGGACAAAGAGACAGATAGACGCATTTTTCAGCTTTATTTTTATATCTCAATAAAAATAACAACTGAAGTAAACCCACTAATATAAAAACAGCTTTTTAAGCTTTACTATGAAAACAATATAAATGGGGTGCAAATAGCCCAGGAAAACCATAGACTTTGATGATATGTTAGCATCATCAGGCCATCTAAAATCAAAAAACAATGGCCAATGAGTATATAACCACAAGAGTTTAATCTTACATACAAATATGGCATTATTCAAACAGTTCAACGTACTGCTAACAGTATAGTCCAATGAATATGAACCACATGGCATAAGCAAACACGGTTGAGATTAATGAACGCAGTGACGTCTATAAAATGCCTAAGTCAGATGATTTTTATCACAATTGGACAACTAATTCGTCAATCGTTACGCTTCTAAATAATTAAATGAACATCCAGCTGCCTAATGTATGCCACCACAGTTGATACTATTTAACAGAATGATAAATAGGCACAAAAGATTATCAAAAGCTCCTATTGAGAAAAACTCGGACCTCCAATCAAGGGAGGAATTTTTATCCATGGAATGATCAAACTTTGTATTTATTCGTGAAATCGGATTAATGAACAACAAGCAAAACAATTATTTGAGAGAAAAACTGAAAGCAAACAATATAATGAGAAATTTGATCGCATAAATAGCAAATCACCGCAAAATTATTTCCAAAGGAAAAATTGGTTCCTTCAATAAGAAGAGAAAATTAACATCATCACTAGGTCATAAAATTTAACGGAACAGATATACTCGAAAGGCGAAAAGCCCAATTTCCTGTCTGAAAATAATTGTTCCAGGAAGTGGTAAACGTGGAACAATTCACATATCCATTCGGAAGGAAGAAATTTTCTTGGAGAAGATATTTCCTATTGCGGTCAAATCATAAATCAAAATCCCTTCTTGAACTGGAAAGCATCTTGTGTAATGAATAATGTGTCTTGCAATAAAACTAAGCATGTAACATAGAATTTCACCAAAATAATTCTTTAAGCTTTATTTAGATAGAACTGTCCCCATGAATTTTTTCTATCCTTCTTTCTATGTTTCTTTCCATAAATTCTAAAACCATGATACACGAAAAAGAGGTAAATTTAACGGTAATCCTAATTGACTCAAGTTTTCTTACATAAGAGTAGAAAAAAACCGAGTGAAAAGAATTGTTTTATACTCTGAAATAGAAAGGAATTAAAAAAATGTTAGGCATTAGTAAATGTGCAGTATCTTCCCATATATTCCTCCCTTTCACAAAGTTTTTATTAAGCTCATCAGCTGTTGCATGCACCATTTTTCAAAAACTATGAACCTAAACCCAGAAGCTAGACACTAGGCCATGTTCACCTTCCAGAGCCTTCTGAATTTCTCAACAGAAATCCAGATGGAACAAGGAAAAAGGCCTTCATAGAGTGTATGAAAATATTACGTATATACATTTCTATATCAAATCGATGTGAAATATTTATAATTAATAAAAAAATCTATACACTATTGCAAGGCAAAGTCAGAATATCCCCAATCTTCACATGTTCTATATCCTGGAGGAAGTCAAACTGCCAATTTTGACATGAGAACCTAAGAATCCCTTTGAGCATTATTTGTTAAAACTCTTGAAGGGCAGCAAAACAAAGTTCACAAATAATAGGAAATGAACAAACGTATTTATTTAAAATCCTGTGGCAGATACACCACAAGAGCATCATCAAACTCAGCAATGGTTTGGCAAGTACTAGCCTCTAATTGATGGGTAATATTGAAGAATATTCATCAAAGATCTCAGTAAGACATCAATTCTAATGTATAGAAATTTCAACGAATCTTGCCATGTGAGCATACCTTTAAGGAGCGCCAAGGCAAGGATCACAAGTAGTGACGAAACTGTCACAGAAAATAAGGCAAACACCTGCACAATTACGCGATGCATTTTAGCAACCTCAAATTAAGGCAAGGATCTCAAGTAGTGACGAACCTGTTAGAAATATAAGATATGGGTTCATAAGCCAGTATATTCAAAGAAAAAAAGTTTTTACAGTCGAATAGGAAATGCAAACAATACCAATAAACTACATCCCACAGATGATAAAGATGCCTTATGAAAAACAACTTACCGAATACTTATTGGAGCCGATCTGTCTCTCGAATACCCTGAAGTAGTAGAGTAAATAAAGTCCAAACACTAGTTCTGGTGTAGATGAGAAGCCAAACACGGATGTGATTAATTTCCATAGTTGAAGTTTCTTGAAAATGTCCTGGCGTACAAGATGGGGCACGGAAATCCAATTCAATATCAGTAACATAGAGACATCTATTTGACAGAAATAAATATCAAGAATAAGAGCAACATTTGCTTCATTTTATAAGAGGATTCCCAACCAAATTATCAATAAGGGGTCACCTTAAATAGTGACTGGAATTCAATTTTTTTTTTTTTTTGGAAATGATGATTTACAATTTTCATTAATAAGAGAGTTTAAAAACTATATTATCGATCATCAATGAAGCCATGCTTACAGGACTGGGATGAAGTTGTTTAAAGGCCATGTACGGAAGGAGATTCACTGCATTGCTGGCATACAAAAAATAATCAGTTCACTCCAGCAAATGGCTCTTCAAGTGTTCTTTCGTGCATGATGGTTGATCAAAACCCAATTGACCAACAACGAGATGCATTTGGCAACGAAAAGACCTCTATAAGCAATATTTTTTCTTTTCCATGAGGGGCAAGCTGAGCAAAAATATATGGATGGCATCTGATCCCAAGTTATAAAGTGTCTTCACCTCCCACCTTAATAATATTTATAAAACCTTATCACTTTCGTGAATCAGGAGGCTACTTTTTAGCCATAAAAATATTCCAATACATTATATTAACGTAGTCTTCAATATGCTGAGACAGTCCAAGCTCAGAACCTGAGAAAGTTCCTAACCCAGCAAGCATGGAGACGTCATATTTAGGCTAGTCCAACCTCACCACCCTAGGAGGTTGGAGATGTTACACAATCACTGAAGATGTCACATCGGACATAGCTAAGGAAGAGGAGGTCACATCAGATACAGGAAGAAGAGGTGAACTCCCCCCCCTCCCCCCCACACACACCATATTCACTCACCACTAAAACAGAAGCTTAATTACGAGATGAACAGTCAAAACTGTCCCAAATAACTAGCAGCTTGACCAAGAACAACCAAGATTCTTAGGAGTGAGCAGCCACACTCCACAATAAGTAACTACACTTCGTTCAGTATATCTTTGAAGTACATCTAACAAGTAGCTCATCTACTCCATAATGATAGAGTCCCCTTTTCTGTTATTTAGTCATACTGTCAAGCATCCCCTATAGTTAAATAAATAAAGTAGAGTCATCCCTCAAGAATTGGTCAAAACCAGTCAAATATCGACAAGTGAATCGCTCACTAGTTTCATTTACAACAGCTCATTACTGTCAAATAACGAGAATTGGTACAGGTGAAGATGAAATTGGCTTAGATACTTTTAGATATGGGAGAAGAAGAGAATACTCTTGGGACAACAGAGGAAACGGAAGCAATAGGAAATAATTAGTAAAGGAAGAATCCCAATCAATTGAAGCAAGAAGTATACACAAGTTTTCCTCGGGTTTTGATCCTAAAAGAGCTCCAATTTGAAAAATATTAAATTTTCATAAAACATGACATAAAGGGCCTCCAAAACGGTTCACATTCGAGGATACACAAAGAGAAAAATATCCTGGTCATGAAACCTTTCTTAAAGGCATAAAATGAAAGTCCCCAATTACACTTAAATACCAGAAATTAATAGCCTAAAACAAGAAAATAAATCAGCAAACAAGAATGAATCCATATCCTCAATAAGGTTCCAGCCTTGTCAACCATTGACCCCACAGAAAGAGACTACCTATGCATCGGCAAAAGAGCTAGTGATGTATGAAATAGACTACATCAAAGAGAAGGACGAAAGGTTTTTGACCCAGGTGACCTAAAAATGGTGAGCCAAGTGTCCATGAAGCTTCAAAGATGGGCTAAAAATATCAGAAGGTCATAAAAGGCCCAAATCAGAGTTGGCTCATAATAAAACGAATCATAAACGAGTGAAAGATTATTCTTTGCACTTTAAATTTCTTTTTCTAAATCTGTTACAAGACACGATCATAACAAAACCGTCTCTTTAAAGGCCCCATGTTGTAACCTTAGAGACATTATTCAACATTACAAAATTTCCCCCTTTTAGAGATTCTATCTCTTTGTTGGTAGACTATGGTGCCTCTCTTATGGATTCAAGGTAACCCTATTCATCTTGGGGATGCAAGATCACCCCCTTGTGGATTCATACGTTGAAGCTTCCAAGTTTTGTGCATTCAGGGCGAGGAATCTTCATAGAGATTTCGTCTTTTTTGTGGATTCAGGAGCGAGACTTCATCTCGACGCAACTCAGGTTGCGTCAATTAGATTGAAGGTTGATGGACCCTCCCTCCTCCTTGTCAATTCCATGGCATCAATTTCCGCACTTAAATCGAGACTGGCACTAGGAAGTAGCCTCCTAGACGCCCCGGTCTGACTAGGGATTTAGGTTTGCTGAACTACGTCAAAGCAGTCCAACTACAGAACATCAGAGGGATAATCCAGTTCTAGTCATTTCTCCATCGAGAATTATATCAATTCTAAACCAATTCCTTGGTTTGTTCCCAAAGTGATCGATTTTTCCCCTTTGATCAAATAGATAGGGAATAAAAAGCATTTAATTTTCATGGGGGATCATCTTTAACTGTAAGCCCCTACATAGAAGCACATGCTATCTCACTGCCGTTCTTCATAAAAGTGAACAAAAACGGGGGAAATAGGGAATAAAAAGCATTTAATCAGCAAATGCAAGTTCTTTTGCAGCCAGCCAGCCGGCCATCCATACCAAGGATCAGTGTATCGTTGGTCTCCTCTTCCAACCTCATCACTTTATTTCCTCTTATTTTCATGGCCAGCTACAGCTTTGTGATTCTTAATAGTATCAGCAATTTTCTGTCTAAATTAGACAACAGATCAACATAAAGTATGACATTATTTTTGAGAGGAGATACGGATATATTCTTCACTCTGTTCAGTGCTCTGATCAATGGAGAATGACTCAGAAAGATGCCAAGTGCCACGGAGCAAACAACTAACGGACAACTTTTTTACCATAAGAAAAGCCCAAGGATGGGCACAAAAATGATAAAACGCTAAATATTCTGCAACACCACGGAAATCTGATCACTGAAACGAAAGCTGGTGGCCCATATGGGGTCCCCTATAGAAAAAGGCATCTGATATAGAGACCACAAGGAAACAGACCAGCCTCTGAAATAGCATCTGAGCTAGACAGAGAAACCGCAAGACCCCGTGCTTATTAGTACACCCTTGATATCTGATAGGAAGCGGAAAAACGTTCTAGCAGAAAACCTAAAAAGGAACATAAAAAGGGAATGACATGCAGAACGAAATAGGAATCAAGCATGGTAGAGACCTAGAACGATACCATCTATGAAATTAGTGGTGCCAGAAAAGTCTGAAAAGATCGAAACCTGATGTGATAATCCGATCGCCGACGAACGGCCTTGAACCCCAAAGAGCAAGGTCAGGATGGCGCTGGCGAAGACGAACGCCCTCGTGAACGGAGCATTGTCTGGGAGAAACACAGCTTCACATATTGGACTGATTTTAAGAGCGGGGGAAAATCTACGAGGAAATCTAAGCCCGCGGAGTTCTCAGAGTCAGGAGAGCGCTTACGGAAACCAGACGGCCCGCCGCTCATCTTCTGATCCGACGGGTTGACCTTCCTCCCTCCCCGACTCTCGCCGTTTCCGGCCGCCGCAGCTCCGTACACTGGAGAGCCCCGCACGAGAATACCTCCGCCCCTCTCTTTGCCCGGTCAACGACGGCGTCGTTGTGCGCTCTGAGGCTCGGCAAGATGGGTGAATTGCTGTGAGGAAAGTTGTCGTCTTTTTCAGGCTTCCGCTCGGGAGTCTGTCTCTCTGAACGAAAACTAACTCAGTAGGTCAACTGTTCTACTTGTGGATTTAATTCCCCATTTAATTAATCTAATAAATAATGTAAAGCGTGGGCTCATACTAATCATGCATGAATTATTTAATTATTTATAATTATTTTTTAGAGACTATATTTAATATGTATATATTTTTTTCCAAGATATTATCTTAAATTAGTTTTCTACATCCACAAAAAACGTTAATAATGGAACATATTTTTCATCAGAAATTGTTTTAAATATTTTTTATAATTGCGGTGTAAATGGGCTCGAAATGGGCTTATGAGCCCACTTATTCATCTCCTCTCTCTCTCTATATATATATATATTTGACATTATAATATATTATATGGCGCCTTTAATTTATTTAAAAACGTAATAAAAATAATTTATTGCAAGACGGTATGCTTTTCATTGAAAAAAAAAGGTTACATTATCCACATTTGCCTATATTAATCATCCAAAGGGGAAAAAATAATCCTATAAATTAGCTAGGCACCATTTTTCGTCGATTATAATCTATTTCTATTGAATTTTACCTTGTCATCAATACCCATAAATACAAGCTAAATTTAGGAATCTAAGAGAGGAGGAGAGAGAGAGAGAAAGAGAGAGAGAGAGAGAGAGAGATGAGCCCCCTCCCAGAAATAGTAAAGAGGAGGCCGGCTCCCCGCTCCGGAAATGGCAAAGAAGAGCCCCCGACAGTGCTGACAAATCCTCCCCGTCAACCTGGAACCATGGCTGGCCACACTTCCCCCCAACAGCTCCCTCCAATTCCTCCAACGGCTCCTCCCATGGAGATCCCGACCAAAGCAGCACACCCCCTCGCCCTCGCTCCTCCTCCTCCTCCGCCGCCGCCATGACGCAGACCCAGAGCCCCCCGAGCACGGCGGCGCATCTCCTCCAGCCCTCGCAGAAAAGGAGGCCCCACAGATCCACCAAGTTCTTCCGGGCCTTCCGCAACGCCTTCCGCTCCTTCCCCATCCTCAGCCCCGCCTGTCGGATCCCCTCCGCCACCGCCGGCCGCGGCGGCGCCGGCGGCGGTGGCGACGGTCACATCCCCGGCGCCGCCCGCATGACGGGAACCCTCTTCGGGCCTCGCCGGAATCGCATCAGCCTGGCGATTCAGGAGAACTCGAGGAGCCTCCCGCTTCTGGTCCTCGAGCTCCCCATCGCCACCGCGAAGCTCCTGCAGGAGATGGCCGCCGGCCTGGTCAGGATCGCCATGGAATGCGAGAAGAAGGCCGGCGGCTCCGCCGGAGGAGGAGGAGGGGGAAGGAGGAAGCTGCTGGAGGAGCCGCTGTGGACGGTGTACTGCAACGGGCGGCGGGCGGGTAGCGCCGCCAGTAGGGAGCCCGGGGAGGGGGACCTCAACGTGATGGGACTCCTGCACGCCGTCTCCATGGGCGCCGGCGTCCTCCCCGGCGACGGCGACGGCGCCACCACCGGCGACGGCGAGGTGACATACATGAGGGCACACTTTGACCGCGTGGTGGGTTCCAAGGACTCGGAGACCTTCTACATGCTCAATCCGGACGGCAATGGCGGCCCCGAGCTCAGCATCTTCTTCGTCAGAATCTGAAAATACCAACCAGCTCCAGACGACCTAAGCGAACCAACGCCTCCATGAGAGAGAGCAGAAGCAGAAGCAGAAGCAGAATCCAGGCCACCATGAAAGTACCAACCAGCGTCGACCGAAAGCAGAAGCAGAACCAACGCCACCATGAGAGAGAGAGAGAGAGTTCTTTCCACTGTACAACAAACCCAGGCACAAGGCAATAATAATCTACTTCTCTCTCTCTCTCCATCTCTCTCACTTGATCGTCCATCTCTCTTAGGGTTTTGATCGGAATCCAGCGCGCGGACGACAATTCAAAATATGGCTCTTGGGCACATCAAACGACGCCGAAATATACGAAAGAGTAGATTCTATAGAGAGAGAGAGAGAGAAAGAGAGAGAGAGAGAGAGAGAGAGGAGACAGAAAGTGAATATTTAGGACGGAAATTACACGGAAAAAGATCACAAGGAGAAGCTCAAACCAAGGTGCTATCCGTCTGCTTCCACAGATCACCAGTCTTTGAATCCTTTATTTGAGACAGTCTACTGCAGAACCCAACAAGAGAGAGAGAGAGAGAGAGAGAGAGAGAGAGAGAGAGAGAGGCAGGTCAGGTTTAGAAGTAGTTGCCCTCATAGAAGCGCTTGAGGAAGTCGAAGCCCGGCTGATCCTTGGTCGCCGGGCCCTGCAACTGCTCAGTGCCCACAACGTACTGGCCGATGATGTGATGCCGCTGCTTGGCGTGCTCGGTGATGTTCCCCAGCTCCTCCATCCCCTTGAACAGGAGCATGTCTATGACCTGACCTCACAGAGCAATTAGCGAGAGAGAGAGAGAGAGAGAGAGAGAGGTTAATCACGCATTAGAGAAGAGTTACAGAGAACACAATGCATCAAGGGTTAGGACTAAAAACATAGAAGCTAATGCCCGAATTGGCTTCTTTCTTCACACCAAAGACAACGACATTGTTACTTCTTTAATATCCGGTTTGCTTCTGGGGGCCCAACCTGGGGGACTTCATTGGCTCTTCCCCTTCCCATATCTGCATGCCAAGAACAGGCTCGGGGCCACCCCATGAAGCCCCCAAGTCAAGTTCTCGTGTTCCTCTGAAAATCAAGAGGTGGACAAACCAGCAGCTGAACAAAAGATGAGATGAGGAGTCCTCTCTCTCTCTCTCTCTCTCTCTCTCTCTCTCTCTCTCTCTCTCTCTCTCTCTCTCTCTCTCTCTCTCTCTCTCTCTCTCTCTCTCTCTCATACATACGCACATACACAAACAGTGTGATGAGGGATTGCAGAACAACAGCCATAATGCAGTCCCCCATTTTATGCAAAACAAGATAATTCTTTCAAGAGGGGCTCAAACATGAACGATCCAAACCCAGATAAACTCAGGAAAGAGAATCGATGCTATTATGAGAGTTAATAGCCTTCTCTTGGTTGCAAGGGTGACAATGTTCAGTTTTTGCAGTTAATAAATCTCTGCACGGATATTCAACATAACATGTCTTAACACACTATGGGCATTACTCGTTTGACGAATGTCATTTAAAGCTTATCAAATAAGCTTCGTAGAGGCAAAGTGGATACAAGAGCGAGAGAGATGTCAAAACCCCCAGTCCAGCTGTAGAATAACCGAAGGTGAGATTATAGGGAGCTCCTAACAGACTAGAGGAATAATATGAGCTTCCTAAAAAACGCACAGGGGCTACCTCAGAACAATGAAGGGTATAAATAAAGGAAAGGGAAAGAAAGAAAGGCAGCACCTTTTGGAGAAGTTGATTCGAGTTCTTGGGGAGTCAGGCAAGGGCCTACTGTTATCCTAGATCTGAGGTAATCGAATCCGATTTCCTCTGATCTCGCTCCTCTATCTTACCTACTTCAGACATTGTTCTTTTCTTCTATATTCAGAAGTTGGAGCTTTATCAACATACTTCCTAACTTCACCCATCTCTACTTGTTGTTTCTTGTCAAATACATACAAGAAGAGAGAAGAAGAAGAAAGGAAAGCACACACTACCTAACTGGACAGAGAGTGGATTAAGGAATTAAAAAAAATCCTCAATGTACATAAGGATGAAGAAAGATCAGATGCGACCCGAGACCATATTTCATCCCCTTGAGAGTCTTTCCTCAAAATACTTGCGGCGTTCTCATTCTAACCTAGTTACTTCCGAGCAACAGAGTTACAAAGTTAACTTTGAAGGATCAACCCAACTGGTAGCAAATTATGAAGAAGAGATGGAATGTGACGAGCAGATGAGGAGTCTATTGAACGCTCTATAATCAGTAGCATGACACTAACTGAGATCAAATGCCGGATTTGAGGGAAAATGTGAATCAAATGAGACAATCAGGGATGGGGTGGATTAAAAGATCACCTAGAGTAAGACCACTTGGCATTGGTATACATCAGATGATATGGAAGGCTGAAATTGGTTGTTTGAATGTGGATGATATTTTTTCTAGCCTAGAACCGAGTAGTAGTGATTCAGTGCCTGTTAGCTCACATAAAATTGAAACATTTTGGTTAATTCAATGATATCTTCATCTAGATTCATTGTCAGAATTAACGAGGGTTTTCTTTCTGCAGTTAACAAGTGTTTGACCCAGGTTTTTCTGTCAGTTATGACTTTTAGGTCAGAGCTCGGTGAAGCTGGGTGATGCTTACTTCATCAGCAAGGTAATCAGATCAGAAAGAAGAACAATACAGAAAGAAAGAGAATGGAAGAACAGGAACACGGCTAGGCGAATAAATCCAAGAGGACTTCAAAAAACTGATGGAGGAAAACTCGAATGAAGAGGCCAATGCTGGTAAGTTACTCTTGCTTTCCCCAAGGAACTACGATCTCATCAACCATAAAGGAATCGCTAACGCGGAATATTTACTTCATGTACTGCATAGCGCCCCCTCCTCTCTTTTTTCCAGTAATCAGATGAAAAGTTGTTTCCGCGGTACCACCACAAATCGGAAAAAAGAAGAAGAAACACTCATCCCGCCCCTATCAGCATCAGGTCGCGGCTACAGACCCAATCTCCCCCTGACCGGTCAAGAATAGGAAGCGAAATAGGACTGCGTCTAGTGGGAGAGTACCGCCTACCTTAGGGTTCGTGACATGTGCATTCTTCCGGATCTGAGCGGATATGCTAGACCGGAGCTGAGAAGGAGTGACGACATCTCCGAGCATGTAGATGTCCATGATGGAGGGGATGGCGCGGCATGCCGTCTTGAAGAAGTCGAAGACTTTGGCCCTCGCCTCCTCGAGGTTCGCCGAATTCGGCGGCACACGAATGCTCCTCATGAAAGCCATCCCTTCCCGCCGCTGCAATCCGAAACGCCGCCGCCTGCAACCTCCCCTGCTCCGCCGCCGGCGACCTCCGCCGCTGCCGATCGGTTCCCGAATTACGATCCCTCGGGGGTCGCAGGTCGTAGGATTCGCAGAGCCAGGTTAAGAAAAAAAAACATTTTTTTTTTTCATCCTTCATAAAGTTTTCTCCAAAAAGTTAATATAATTATACAATTTCCTTGGATTTTTAGTAATATGGGTATTTTTAAGAAACCCGTATACCGATAATAACCGGAAACCCGATAACAGGGTCTCTTCCCCTTCTCCCAAACCAGACGAGGGGGCAGAAGATTCTCAGCGAGAGAGAGAGAGGGAGAGAGGGAAGGATGGCGGCGGGGTGGAGATCGGCGATACTCCGGCAACTGAGGGTTCCGGTGAGACCGGCGCTGGCGCCGGCGATGGAGCGGCGGTCGTGGATCGGAGCGGTGAGGTGGTCCGGCATCAGGTTCCTCTCCTCCGGGGACGACCACCTGGACAAGCAGGAGATCATCGATCGGGTCCTCTCCGTCGTCAGGAGCTACCCCGGCGTCGAATCCTCCAAGGTTCGCCCCTATTCTCCTCCTCAGTAGCCTTGCTTCCTGCCGGCGCCGCAGCTGCCGCTGGTGGTTCCGCTGATCTCACTGCGAGAAAACCCTAGGGTTTCTTCCTTTTTCATCTCTGGTCCTCATCGAAGTACTATGCGCGGCGCACAGGTTACTCCCGACTGCCACTTCCAGAAGGATCTCGGTCTCGACAGCCTGGATGTCGTGGAGATCGTGATGGCATTGGAGGAGGAGTTCAAGCTGGAGATCCCGGACAAGGAGGCCGACAAGATCGACTCCTGCGGCATCGCCGTCGAGTACATCTCCTCGCATCCGATGGCGAGCTAGCGACCTTCCATTTCAGGCATTGAAGACTTCTGCAAGCTGCATAGAGCTTGATCCCCTTGGTGGAAAAAGAATAAATGAAAATCTCGACCCCCCTAGGCATGCTTCCATCTGAGATCCTCTGTCGTTCGCATTTCTTGCTCGAGGAAACCTAATTTGGCCCTGCAACATGCTTGAATTCCCTCTTCTTTCTCTTTACAAGCTCAACTTTGTTTGTACACGCTAATGATCGATTCGTATAGCTGTATATGATTCGATCGAATTTTGGTTTACTCATTAATTATTCATCACCGAATCAAATCATCCAACTTAGTCCTTTCGGAGATGATCTGTGACAGCAGGACAGGACCCCAGAGGCCATCACAATTAGTGAGAAACCTCCCCCTTTTCGAAGAACGGATTTTTATGAAGAATCGAAATAATCTTTTATGTTCAGAGATCTCAGCTACAAGAGTATAATTTTACCCAATTATTTACTTGCACAGTATTGTCTATTCAGTCGAATAGCTCCTCGACTTTGTGTTGCCATCACCTGAGGAACAACCTTGGGAGATCTAGTGGGTGTACTAAATGACCCTATCTCTCTATGTCTCTCTTCTTACAGTGACCTGATAGTCATTTCATGTGCATGGGTTCTTTCGGAACGTAGAAGAAACCTAACCCATTCTTTATATTAGGTAAAACATCAATAGATATAATGGTGGGCTCAATTGCCCACAAGACGGAAAAGATTTATTTATTTTGATCAATCGACATTGATTCCAGAGGAAATGTAGGAGATTAAGGAAGATAGCAGCAGGCGTCAAAGTCATACCACCCGCTACAGCACGACCCCCATTGACTTTGTCCAAGTCAATGGTACTGGAGCAGAAATCTTAAGTCTGATATGTTACTATTATTCATATTTTTTCAATTAAAGGTCAATATAAAGTATTGAATTATAAAAATTAATAAATTCTTTGATCAAACGGGGGTGTAGCTCATATGGTAGAGCGCTCGCTTCGCATGCGAGAGGCACGGGGTTCGATTCCCCGCACCTCCATGATCATTTAGCATATTTTAAAACTAAGATTTTTTAATTTCCGATTTCACCTATCAATAAAGTTTTATCCCAAATAGAAGAAGGGCTGCAAAACCAAGAAACCCTCAAATAAATAAAGTTCATAAGGTCGACTACACTTACTAATATGAAATGCAAAATAACTACTCACCACTTCTCAAAATATTAGGAACGAATTTATTTATAAATTTTAAATATATCTCAATTACATTAATTTTGTTAAAATATACCCGATGGAATTTTTTGGACCGTAAATGTGAGAATAAAGGATATTCAAAAAATGCTGATAAAATTTTGTTTGAAACAAAGCATTACATTAAGATGTAAATTATATAATTTATATGGTATTTTAATTTTTTTTAATTTAATTGTGACTCAATAGAGATGAGTTATTTAATGAGCTTCTTAAATTCCCACAACAAAGGCTTTGATAATGGAACTAATCAAGACTTATCTTATATCAATCATAATGGAACTCTAACATATTTGCAGTAATTCTAAGAATTTCATCCAACTGGCTTAGATCAATGAATTCCTTAATGCAATACAAGGTTTCTGACCTTATAACAAAGACAAAGCACTCCAATCTCAACTAAGAAATAACAAATATTGCAATAAATAGAAGGGTTGTGAGCTCAATATCTAAGCTACTATATTTCCATGAGCTGGTTGCACTTTTGAAAGGGAGGGAGGGGAGTAGAGAGAGCATAAATTCAGATGAACTAGGCCATTGGTATTAGGCAAATTAACTTTTTGGGATTATTACCCACTTTATTTGAAATTTCTCTCATTATAGTCTTATTGGGGATGCTCATTGTTACATTAACTTAGACATTTGGGCCCCATGCTGCTATTATATTTTATTGAACACAGCCATTGGACATAATCCATGTCAATTTTTCTAAGAGTCTACTTGCATTGTGCTTGGCCTTTGGACACAATCCATCCTACAATACATTATACTTGCTATATCCATTTACATTGAGTGAGACCAATTGTTGCAAAGTCTACACAAGGTTTTATTGGATCCAAGTGATTGGCACAACATACAAAAGAACAAATTGGATTGAAAAATTGGGCTCTAAATTGACACAAATGCACCTTGGATCTCAACCACTAATAGGAAAAGTCTTAATGCGTTCTTTCATTAACCTTAGGTCTTTGCTAACTATACCACCATAATATTACATTCTAGATCATTCTACATTATTACTATATATCTTCAATGTGATAGTTAAGCATGATTGATGGTAGTTAAGTAGTAGTTCTGACAAAGTCGGATGTCCAAGTGTGTTGACAAAGTGAAAGTGAGCATGAGGCTCAAACTCTCTCTCCCCCCTATGTTCTCAATTAAGAAATAAAGTGCCATCTCCTTCGTTCTTAGAAAGTTTTTGTACATTTTCCCACAAGTCAAGTGAAGAGAGAAGGCTATTTAGATGTGTTGCTGGAGTGCCCAAGGTTATGTATGGTTATGCCTCTCAAAGGAGGACCAACTAACTATGTAAAAATTTGTATCATAACAAGATTTTTCTCATATTAAGGTAAGATAAGAGATAATATGATTTTTTAGGGTTTAACCACAAGGATTAAGGATTAGTTGCATGGAAAAGAAACTCCTAATGTTACCCATCATGATGCAAAGTTATGAAGATGATATCTTTACTTTGGAGGAGCAGATGGAGGACATATGGGTTGACGTAACATACACAGCTACTTAAAGTTGGGATGGATTAATGATACCATGGTGGAGGAGCAGTGAGAGGTTTTTTGTGGCCTATTGCATTGGTTAGGGCTTGAATTCACAACAGATTTGAGGAAGCTGCATACATTGAAGGAACCTATGTGATGGAGGGAGAAATAAAAGGAGAAACCCTTGATTTGTTTCATGAAGAAAATATTTTATACATGCATTGACACATGTGTGGAAGGGCATTAGAATTCCCCTTCAAGAGGAGTTGTAAATATTTGTAGTAGTCCTCTTAGAAAATGTAAAGGATAAATGAGAAGAAAAAAGAGATTTGATAAAGTGTTAGTTAATTGATGACCAAAGTGAACTAGAAGAAGCTTGATGATGCCGTTGACCAACTTGGTGAGTATGAAATTGATGACTAAAGGTAATGTGCTATGTGTGTTCATGAAATGTGAGATTTGACATAGTATGAATAGCAACTTGATTGTTACATAGTAAAAGGGCTGGGAGAGGTGTCTTAATGTGAAAGTCATTAGTTTTTGTATCAAAATAATCTTAAAAGTTGTAGCAACTAATGCATTGTAGTCAACTTTAGTTGATGATTGAGATATTATCAACTATTTCTTTGTCTTCCATCAAATAAGAGAATAATTGAGAAAAATTAAAAAAATCAGTATTTGATTTGGAAGAATTTGGATAAATGGTCCAATCCACATCAAAGAAGGTCCAAAGGTATGATGAAGATGATTTGGAAAATAATAATCCTTGATTAGATGTAACTTTTAAATAAGAAAGGAGATGATGAGTTACATTTCAGTAGGTAAGGCGTGGTTAAATCGTAAGCTCACTCAATTTGTGCATTCCAAATGTGATATCTTCATGTGAAAGTGTCAAATATGAAAGATGACTAATGAATCTATGATATTGAGATGCACCTTCAAGTAATTATTTTGAGTTGTAGTTGAAGATTTTTAAGAAGCACTATGAGTTTTGATTTAAGAAATTTAGCATCTTTTAGTAGTTGTAAAGTGTGATATCATTGAGATAATACAATCCCTGATGTGAAATGAGTAATGTCTAAGCCTACTAAATATCTCAAGGTGTCAAGATCTTTGAATTGATGCATTAGAAAAGTTTAAAGTCATCTATAATGGAAGAGAAGGTCCCTTTGGAATAATGTCACTAACATAAACAAGTAGATCTATGAAAAAATAACTATGACCTTTGCTGCATAAAAACAATCACATTTAGACTAAATAAATTTATATTGAAGTAATGAAGATGATAAATTGGAATATTATTGTGAGAAAGCTTGATAAAGTCTCTAAATAGATATATGAAGCATGCATACAAGTTTCCCTATTTGTGGATTTGTCTCTTTTGATGAAGAATGCAAAAAAATATATCTACATAAACTTCTTCAAATGAATCATCATGAAGAAATGTACTATTGATATCTCAATTATACAAGATACTATTGGCTTGTAGTTGCAAGGGCTACTAAGATTTTTCACTAGATAATATATTTTGACAAGATTAACTCCTTTTTGTATGTAATCCTTGGCAATGAGATGAGCATTGAACCATTAGAATTATATTTTATTTTTTAAATATATTTTAATCCAACTGTATATATTTTTTTTGATAGTTGGGTGATTGACCATGTGTTATTTGTGGTCAAATCATTAAACTGAATATGCATTGCCTCTTCTCATTGAGGCAATTTTATAACCTCATGATAAAAGTGTGGTTCCTAGTTGATAGAAATTTGTGAAACAAAATCTTTGTAGAATAGTGAAGGGAATCATAAGAAAAATAATTAGGTAGAAAGTAAGGATGTTTTGCATTATTGAACAAAGTGTGTGATAAATTATTGCAATATAACTCACAAAGGTAAGATGAAATTTTATAAATCCTAAGAACATGCAAATAGTGAATTATTTAACTCTTCTTAAATTGTCTTCAATTTGATCAAAAAATTACATTAGAATCTTGATCTTGATATAAATTCAGCAAGTCATGCTGCAATTGAAAATTTTAAGGTCCGTTACTTGGCTAATGTCTCAAAAATCTTTCCAAATTGCACATGTTGAATTTGGATAAATCACATTGATATTTCATGTAAAATATAATTTAATATTCATGAGAAATAATTATTTTTTTATTAAATCTATTTTTTTTCTTTATTGAAAAAACAATGATCATAGCCCATATCCACAAGGCAGAATTATCTTCAACAAGTTGTTGAGAGTA